AGTATATTATTACAATAATACATGGCATAGAACTATAAACATGAAACCAGTGGAAATGAAAAATGATATTTCAAAAGAATGGGAATATATTAGAAAGCAAATGGAAAGGTTGAATGATGTTAAACGTGAACAAATTAATTCGGGGCTCATGAATTTTAAACAAGGGATAAAGTTTTGATTCATCTCGATTATGGAAAAACTGATAAATCAATGACAAAAAGAAGACGAAGATTTGACACAATAGCTGAATTTGTTAGATATATTAACGCAATGCATTAGTTGAAGTTGACAATAAATTAATAGAAATTCCGATTTATTTTATTACTCCATTATATTTAAATAATATTTAATTTTTTTTATTTCGTAAGAAAATGAGTGACAACGAAGCAGCCAAGAGTCCAGACGATGAATATAAAAAAAAACTAAACAGAATTAAATCAAAAATATGCTATTACAAAAAGAAGCCACAATGCGGTGGGGTTGATGCCATAAACTAATGGAACTGAAAACGATAAAGAAATAATCGAAAAATTAGAAACTTACCGTTCAATCCTTAAACTGAGTGAAGCAAAAATAAAAGAATTTAATAGAATAAATAAATTGATTGGAAGAGATGAATTTAATAAAGATGAATTTTTAAACTCAATCCAAATTTAATTTTTATTCCTCTTTGACAACATCTCTCTTTCCATCATTACTGCATAACCACATTTTCTCAATTTTTAGTGGTTTGTTATTTTTAACATGTTCTTGCATCATTTTTATCATTTCCTCCCTTGTTATGATTCGTGGTAAATTTTGAGCTTGTGGGGTATCCATTTATGATAAAAATAAAAATTTAAATTATGCCGTTCTAAAGTTTGTGACAACATGACATTTTGACAACAACACAGGAGGAAGGCAGTTATGAATTATTTTTGAAGAACTGAAGGTGCTACCATGTTACCATGTGCTACCAGGTCATTTAACTTCTCTGAAAAAGTGTGACAACATGACATTTTGACAACAACACAGGAGGAAGGCAGTTATGAATTATTTTTGAAGAACTGAAGTGCTACCATGTTACCATGTGCTACCAGGCATCATTTAACTTCTCTGAAAAAGTGTGACAACATGACATTTTTGACAACAACACAGGAAATGATTTGTCATGACTTCATCGGAATGAGTGTAAATGACCCAAAAATAAAGTTAGTTTTTAAAATTATTTTTATTTTTTATTTTGTATATGTAAGAACAGAAATGTCAGTCGAAGCAAAAACATTCACTAACAAATCTAATGGCGAAACATTCACAAAAGGCACTTATAACGGTATTGAAGTCTTACGTAGAGACAAGGATGGTTACATTAATGCAACAAAGATGGCAAGAGAAGCAGGAAAGTTAAACCATTTTAAACAGATTTCTCAATAGTGCTAAAATACAGGAAATTCTTGAGTTTTGGATGAACGAATACGGTGGAGCCAAAAGTGGCTCGACCTCAAAACAAGCATTTTATGAGCTTACTAAGGGTGTTATAAATGAATTCAAAGGTATTTACATACATCCTGACCTCGTTCATTTCGTTGCTGAATGGTGCTCTGTAAAGTATGCATTTTATGTCAAAGATATTATGGACTCCATAGACAAGAAAGTTCATGAGAAATTAGATGAAGAAGAACTTGAAGATACAGTAGAGAATGCTAAACCTTTGTTTGAAGAAGAAGTTGGAAAAATTGCGAAAAACAATTAGAACATGAACGTGAGTTATTTATGGTTATAGAGATTCTCCATACGAACTAGACCAATGGGAACAAGAAAAATTTAAAGAGAGAATTTAGAGAATATGAACTCGCTAAGATAGCATTAGAAGCTGCAGAAAAGAAGTTAAAAGTTTGTGGTTGTTTTGTACAAAAATATTGTGAGTAAATGAACCATTTATTTTTTATTGAATTCACCAAAAATAATTTTTAGGTAGATGGTTAGATCTAACCTCATTTCTAACCTCATGACATTTTTGACAACAACACAGGAGGAAGGCAGTTATGAATTATTTTTGAAGAACTGAAGGTGCTACCATGTTACCATGTGCTACCAGGTCATTTAACTTCTCTGAAAAAGTGTGACAACATGACATTTTGACAACAGTCCTGGAAATATGATGCAGTCCAAAAATAAAGTTAGTTTTAAAATTATTTTATTTTTTTATTTCTATATAAATGACGGCAACAAACAACAACAGCAACTATATCGTTTCTGATGAAAAAAGTTATTGATTCATTAGTTGAGGAATTAGTTATGACAGAAACTAAAACCCTCAATGAAAGAATTGGTGAAAACATGATGATTTACATAACTACCTCAAACATGATGGAGGAAAGAGGAAGGAAAACTGGTATGGCTTTATTAGTAAATAAAATATCAAATTTAACGATTATAGATGTTGATATCAATAAATCGTACAATGATGAACTTAAAAGAAACAGTTAGAAAAGACATTTTATCAAAACTTTCGGATAAAGATGTTATCGTTAAAACCGCTTCAGGAGGTCTTCACATTTATTGCAACACTAATTTCTTCTATGTAGTTTCGAACAGAATGATTAAATGTTATTCCTGCAATGATTATGATATTGACATAATGACTTCTATGGATGATTCAAAGCGTTCTTTAGTAGTTATGGCTGATTCAAGAGTTCGCAAGAATGCAACAGAACCAACAATACATACTCATTCATTCGTGGAAGTTACGATTCAACATTAACTAGAACAGTAAATATAATAAATGAATTGAATATTAAGGTAAGAGTTGAACAGAAGCGAAGAAATAAAGACTATCATGAATGAAAACAAAGATGTAAACATTGACGATAAACTAGCTCAAAGCATAGTTGATGGCATCAGTGATTTTGAAGTACATAATGACGGTGGAAACATGAATTTGGAAAAAGAAGTTACATTATTCACACTGTTTCAAGCTATTAATTCGTTACCTAATCATTTAATTAATGAAGCATACGATAACGTTTATAACTTCTGCAGTTAACAGAAAAATGCAAAAAGTAATTTTGAAAAAGCACGTGATAGATATGCACATTTAATGACTTCTCCATTTGTTTTAGTGAAGATTCTAAAACTATACCAAAAGGAATATTATGATGAATATGTTTTACCTTTATTACGTAAGCCAAAAATAACATTTGATATAAAACTTGATGATTCATTTTTGATAACAGATATTAGACGCAAGGCTGAAAATCATCAGTATAAAAACAGTTCTGAAGTAATTGAGGATTTATCACGTGTAATCCGTTTTGTAGATTGTGGAAATAAATATTTCATTCAAAAGGACTATAATATCCACGACAAAATGAATCAAATATCATTCGTTCTTCAATCAAACATGAAAGAGTCACTAAAATGATTAAATTATTTAAAGAAGAAGGTAAAACCATAACAGCATGGGATGTACTACTAAATCAATTATCCTCATTAACCGTTAAGGGTGTTTGCTTTAAATCTGATTCCCCAGATGTTTTCTCAACGTTTCAGGGTTATAAATACAACATTCTCGAAAACCTGATTACTCAAAAATTGAGATGTTTATGAATTTCATTAAAGAAGCCATTTGTGATAATAACGATGAAGTGTATAAATACCTTCTCGGTTGGATTGCATCAATGATTCAACATCCGGAATCAAGAATGAAACAGCAATTATTTTGAAAGGACTTCAGGGAACAGGTAAAAACAGATTTACAGACATTATTTCTGAACTTCTCGCTGGTTATTCATGTAAAAACATTACTGAAATAAGTGAGCTAACGGGTAATTTCAATTCGGTTGTTGAAAATAAAATGTTTCTTGTACTTAATGAACTCAAGAATGTTGGTGAAGATAGACTCGCAAACTTCAACGCTTTGAAATCAATTATTACGGATAATCAAATTAGAATTAATGAAAAGAATCAACCCAGAAGAACTGCTCAGAACGTTGCAAACTTCATTTTCGTAACTAACAACGTCTACCCTGTCAAAATTGAAGTTGGAGACAGAAGATACGTAGTTTTAAGGGTTAATGGTAAATTCAAGGGTCAATTTGATTACTTCAAGAATTTAATGGATTCATGCACTAAGGAATTTTATGATAATTTACTGACGTATTTTATGCAATATGACCTTTCATCATTTAATGTACGAATCATACCGATGACTGAAGCCAAACAAGATTTAATCGAGTTATCAACAAATCCTTTAGATGTATGGATAAATACACATTATGATGAATTGTGTGCAGGTATGACGTGTGAAAATGCTCTATTCTGCAAACCATCAGACATGAAAGACAAAAACTTTCAAATGAGTATTAAGGATAAATGTGATAGGAAACATAGAAGAATAGACGGTAAACAAACATGGTGTTATGTTTTGAAAGAAGAAATGAAAGGATTATATAAACAGGTTGAACCAAACGATAATGAGGATTCATTTACTGACGATGAAATACCTGTAAATGAAGCTTTATAAAGTATGATTTGAATTTATTTTTGCATTAATTCTCCTGTGTTGTTGTCAAAATGTCATGTTGTCACACTTTTTCAGAGAAGTTAAATGACCTGGTAGCACATGGTAACATGGTAGCACCTTCAGTTCTTCAAAAATAATTCATAACTGCCTTCCTCCTGTGTTGTTGTCAAAATGTCATGAGTTAAATGACCTGGTAACATGGTAGCACCTTCAGTTCTTCAAAAATAATTCATAACTGCCTTCCTCCTGTGTTGTTGTCAAAATGTCATGTTGTCACACTTTTTCAGAGAAGTTAAATGACCTGGTAGCACATGGTAACATGGTAGCACCTTCAGTTCTTCAAAAATAAGTCATTATTGAATAACCTGTAAACATTAACGTAAACATTTATTTCTGCAGTTCATTCATTACTTCATTACCTAATTAATTACAAACATAAAATATATTTAGTTCATTCAATGAACGTGGTAAGCCTGCAAAGTAGGCTCAAGCACATTCAATAAATGCGGTACCATGCGAATACAGTCATAAATGGTGGCATATAATCTTTACCCAAGCCTGTTGGATTTGTTGTGAAAGTATGTGAATGATTTCCTCCTGGTTCAGTTGGTCGAAAAGTCTTTTTTGCTGAATGGTTATAATCTGGAGATAAAACGTCATTGCCAGCATAATATTCTGAGTTGTATAATGGATGGTCTCTTAATGAGTGACTATGGTCACCAGAAAAGTTTGTAGTTCCTGTATGAGTGTGCGGTGGAAGGTTTGCTTCAGTAATTTTCTTCGAACCTCCTGTTTGCTTTGAAGAGTTCGCACAATAGAGGAATTTATCTACAATCTGCTTCCATTCACCAAAACCTAAAACTGTTGCGGGATTTGTTGAGTTCATTGACGTATAAATAGAACCAATGGGGTAAATCATCTCAAGAATTGTATTTAATCCATTATGAATATTGAATTTATTATATAATATTGAATTTGGGTGAGTATTTAAAACTGGTCTTGTTATCAATATTAACGTATTATTTTTGAAAATTGCTTTTCTAACATCTTGAAATTTTGTGATTTCAGACCAGTTTCTTCCATCACTACTGATATTTACTAAATCACCACATCCTAAAGCAATGAAATACCCATCAATATAAAATAAATTTGTAAATCTATAATTTTGAGTAAATTTTGGAGTGAATGAATAAACCAATTCCCAATTTGATAAATCCTGTGATAAATAAATATGTCTGTTATAACTTACAGGATATGAATAGACCATTTCACCTGAAACGAGAACATAAACATTTGATCCATAACATAAAGCTTCAATGTCTCCATCAGCTTGAAAAATTTGTTCAAATTGACCTTGTGATATTGAAGATGATCTATAAATTTTATCATTTTGTAGGATAAAATACATGTTGTTAATGTAATACCACTTACTTGTATAATCAATTTTCAAATCTGATGACATCATACTAAACATATAATAATTTATCCCATCCTCACTAATGAAAATTTGATTGACTTCATAAATTAGTACCCATTTATTATTAACACATCTAATAGGATTATTTGGATATTTAAATTTAGCATCTTGATTTAAATTACATTTGAACCATTGGATACAATCGAATGAATAACAAGGGCAAAAATCATCTTCAACCGTTATCATTCCCATAAATTTACCGTTATTATATTCAACATATAAAATTCTTGGATTAATGATTGGCTTTCGTGTATCAGGATTCAAAACAGATGGAGTAAATGATTCATAGTTTTTAAAATCATTTGTTTTAAAATAATAAAGCACTCCAGCTGTATAAAATAAATACATGGTCACTCCATCGAAACATATCCATTCAAAAGAATCTATATCAAAGGTTTTATCTGATGATTTCATAAAATTTAAAAATGGCGGAGTAAAATAGACCTCTGATTGTTTTATTTCTTCATTAACATAAGTTTTATCTGCTTTCTTCTCTAACTCATCGTTAACATATTCCTTATCTGCTTTCTTCTCTAACACAGCAGCAACATATTCCTTATCTGCTTTCTTCATTATGTCATTTAGGAAACCTTCTATGAATTCCTCATTTAAATTAAATCTTCCAATCTTCAAAACTTTAGGAAATGCATTTAATGCGTAATATCTCTGTTCTTCTGGTGGAATTGATGTTATATCATCCGTTATACCTTTAATTTTAGAATTCATAAATAAAATTTCTTTTATATTTGATATCACTGCACCACCTTTGCAAACGAATTCGAAATGGTCATTTTTCAATACTATCTCCAAATCTCCATATTTCAACCTTTGCGTTTGTTCTGCCGTCTTTGAATTATATGCATATATGGCGTATGTAATGGTCTGAGGGACCTGGGTGTTTGTGCCTTAAGTTGTTGTGGTTGCTGTTGTTTAATCATTTATTATGATTTAAAAATAAATATTTAATCTGTTATCTCATCACCTATTTTTTCTATTTGAAATTGCCATAATATTTCATTCATGAATTCTAAATCACAATCAAATAGGTCAGTTATTCTAAATTTAATATTTGATAAATCTTTTGAATGAAGAATAAATGAATTCCCGGATAATTGAAACGGATATGATAAAGAAAATGTGTTTAAGTTGATGGATAAAATGTTTTGTATTGATGGGTAAGAGTTAGGGTCTAATGTTTGATGTGAAAATCTCATTGGGGTATTAACTTTATCACATTTGATTAAAATGAAATTGGAACCAGTGTCAGAATACAAAACATCCCCAACATCTTTTTCAAAATTTAATATCCCAACAATGAACGAAGATGAGGAGTACAAAATTTAATTTTCAGCGGAATTTAATAAGGTTATTTATTTCATCAAGTTCAAAAAGTTTATCAGGTTTTGATTTAAAATTTTCTTCATACCATATGATAAATGATTCATTTAAATAACTTAAAATCATGTTAATATCCCATTTCGTTATCACATTATTTATATACATATCATACGTTTTTTCATGGTCATCTTTAATAAATGATATATAATCTGAAGGGTCTAAAAGAATGGGATTAAATTTACCACTCACAGAAACGAGAGTAACATTATAAATTCCGCTAACTGTTAAATTTAATTCACAGTTATTATTCGAAATAATATTGATAATTGACATTTTTATTACGATTAAAAATATGGTAAAGCGTTATTTTCCAGTGATAAATAAAACTAGAATAAGATTACCTCAAGAATTCATAAATTCAACGAATAAGAAATTCATTCATGTTATAAATTTTAGTGTTTTCAGAAAATATGAGTCAATGTCATATTCATCAACAGGTTATATTTCACTTCATTCAAATTTAGTTCAATCAAACCCATATAATGACCATTTCATAAGATTTTCAGATGGTATTAAAAATGTAATTGATAGATTAAAATATGAACAGATTGACAATATCGAATTTTTGGAATTTTGGTTTAAATATCCCGATGGAAAAAAGATTGAATTAAAGATAAAGCTGATACTATAACAAAAACAATTACAATGACCGATCCGGATAGTGGGGAACAAAAAGAAATAAAACAAACGATAGAAACCGGTGAAAGGTCAATTATTATTGATTATGATTCAAAGGATTATTATTCGATAATGTTAATGCTTGAATATTAAATAGCCTTAACAAAGAATTTTTCAAGTGATATTTTATATTCATCAACTATTTTATTATAAATATCATTATATGTTAAATGAAGTTCAGTTGTTGTTCCGTTCTTTGATATCTTAATTGTGCTAATATCCTTTATAGGATTTATTTTTGCAACTGTTCCGCAGCATGAAACCTCATCATCTATGAAAAATTGAATCTTAACGTCTGAATCTTGAACATCACAAAGAATGGCGATAATGTGAATTAATGATTCATAAGGTAAAATAATTAAACCAGATTGGTCAATTAAATTTATTATTGAATCATAATTATTAATTATTATATCACGGTAAATTTTCATTAATTCTGAATTAATGTCTATTTTATATGGCGCATTGCGACTGGAATCGTAGATTCCTGGGTTCTCGATGTTTGATGAAAGAGGTGGGGGGTATGTTGGATAAGTGGGAATTTCAACAGGTTCTTTACCGGGTTCAGATAAAATGATTGGGTCTCCATTCTCATGGTTTTCTTCATTCTCCTTTTTCGGTAAGTCACGAGTTAATTCAGGGCTAACATTAACTTTAACACTTTGAATAATTCGTGATTTATCATCATTTACGTTATAACCAACCGTAATCTCTACTTTTGCGTTAGTGTTCTTTTGACTTGTGAAACGTCTTCTCATTTATAATTGAATAAAAAAAAGAAAAATATATTTAAAGTTTTATTTAGTTGTTACGGTAATATCCCAAGGTTCATCATTGTTTGCTTATACTTTCTTTGTAACTGCACCAATTATGTTATTGATATTGCTTTGAGTTTCTTCCAGTCTTATTTTATCATTTACAATATCTTTAATCATTTCATTACATGCATTCTTAAAACCATCTGATTTTTCTAATTTACGTCTATCACTTTCTTTAATTAAATCAAAGTTATAACCTTGTTGAGAATAAAGTGGTTTCTTTATCAATTCCTTGAACGCTTCTGAAAGTGAAGATGAAGAAATTCTTGCCACTTGAATTGGTTTAAATTCTGCTTTCATTGCTTCTTTCTGTTCATTGAACACTGGATCGAATAAAGCAACTTTAAAGAATTTCTTAGCTGAAATTTCAGGTCTAATATTTGCATATTGACCATCAAACTGATTAACATATCGTGGTAATCCATCCGGTCCCTCTTCAATAGCATTTAATTCTTCATTGAAATAAGAATATGGATTATGACGGTATGAATTAATTGGACCATTTTCACCTTCTCCAATGTATTGTTTAACAGCTTTTCCATTTTCATCAAATTGCATAGGATAACGTTCATTATATGCTTTACGTTTAGGATAATCAGTTATAGTTAATTTATAACCATTTATGACTTTAATATTTCCTTGACCATCAGTAACGAAAACTTCATTTATACCATCAGGTTTTCCATTTGGACCCGTAATGTCTTCTTCGTGTGCTTCCCAATTTGGACCATGACGTTTGGCATATGCTTGAGCTTCTGGTAATGTTAAAACGTTTCTCATTTGTTTAACATCCTTTTGAAGACCGGCAACAATGTGGACTAATTCTTTCATTCCGTCTGGAACTTTCATAGTTCTATTATATGCACCCTTTTTGTTTGTCCCTTGTTTTAATGGAACCTGTAGAAGATTTGCTATTTCTGTCATGTTTAATTATAAATAAAAAATAAAAATTAATTATAAAAAGTTAATCAAATTTAATGGAACCTTTATTTAAATCAACTATTATTTTTCCATGTTCACCTAATTGCTGATATTGTGTGTAAAGTTCATTAATGCTCATTGGTAAATTCACTTGATAAAGCATAACGTTCAACTGTTGACGACTAAAACCACTGAAAATGAAAAGGGTGGACAGGTTTGATTTAATGTTTGTGCTTAATGCTTTGAAATATTGAACAGCCATAAAGAATGAACACTGAATGTGTCGACATTGAGTTAATAACTGATTAAAATATGATTTCTCATTTGTTATTAGTTTTGATTTCACGGCATCATCTAGAAAAATAGTGAATGCAAAAATTCTCTATCAAAATTTGAAATAGAAAGTGTTTCAAATAATTCATCCCGTTGTTTATCAATAATTTTATCCTCTAATCCTTGCTTCTTGATTGTATTATATAATTCTTTATACATTAAAAAGTTTTTTAAATAATCTTCTGCTTCTTCTTGTGATAAATAAATAATTGGAATTTTGATTAAATGCTTTAAAGATTCAAATGTATCATCTGAAGGTGAACCTGAACGGTTGATATAAATTAACACATGTGAATGGGGGGAAGTGTTAGCAATAATGATAATTTGTTTTAATATCGTTAATGTTTTACCTTTATTTTGTTTACCAATTGCTGCAGTGATTGAATTTAAGTAACATTCAGAATATGGAATTTTCATTAATTTTTCCTTAGATAGAGCATTTCTATTATCACTCAATGCTTCATTAATCATATCATCTATGTATGTATTATATACTCCCGCTAATTCTTCATAAGGGGTGGATGAGTTTAACTCCATTTAATCAAAAATAAATTTATAATTTTAAACATTTCTATTCATCAATATTTCATCATATGGACTTCTATACTGTGGTGGTGTACCTGTTGGATGATATTTCAAACCTTCGTCCGGTGTCCATGTCCAATATGTAGTCCTAGTAAACCAAACCTGAGGAGGATTTGTCACCTTTGAACAGTAAGTGTCATTTTCACCCTGAATGATTGGATAAGCTTTCACTTGTACTGTAACTTGTGAGTTGAAAGTTTCTAATCCATCAAAGAATATACCCGCTCCATCACGTTGAACTGGAATAGTGCATAAGAATGAAGTTTGGTCTTTCCATGTTCTAGCTAATGGCGTGCCATCATCTGCATTCAGTGGTCTAGTTAATGAGTCCTCGTATTCTTCTGTGCATTCATTCACTCCATCTAAATCAGAAGCTTGAAGCATACGTGTAAAGAATATGTCACCCACTGTGGTCATCGCTTGATCGGGGAAGTTTCTGGAATCTATAGTGACCTGAAGACCTCGAAGCATTGGATTTTCTAAAACTGTTCTTTGCATTGCATTCTTCGGAAATGCTAACACAACATCTGTAACATTATGAAGAGCGTATGAGAAATCTGAGCTAATACCTTCAGGAGTGATGCAACCTCCATTTAGTGAACGAACGTCAATATGTTGAGCTGGAATCATGAATGGATCTTCCTTACTGAATAAACGTGGTATTGCTTTAACTGATTCTTCAATTAAACCGTATCCTGGTGTAATGCATTTATCCTCTAAAACTTCCATCTTTGTGCATGAAATAATAACGTTATCAACTGTTGCGTCAGCAGATGTGCGGCTAAGCTTGTAATTAATTTGGCAGGAAGTCCGATTTGTTGGAATTTGCGATCATATTTATAAACATGATTCATAATCTTTTCATAATTTTCATCAGTTATCTTTTCATAAACGTAATTTTGTAAATCAGCAACTCTTAACGGGTCAACTGACAAAATACTAAAGTATCCCTGAAAACATAATATTTAAGAATGATTTCACCAAATGATTTAGGATAATCATCGAACGCCTGAAATGCTAACAAATCATTTACCGGAATAATCATATCAAAAGTGATATCAACTTCTTCATTTGCATTCTTGAAAACTTCTGAAGGGTCAATATATTTACCACATACTGAGTTATCATATTTTTGAACATTATTATATAACGAATGAACAAACTTTTTAACTTTCCTTTCTGATTTTGGTTTATATGTTGCAAATGCGAAAGATTCACGGGCGCAATCCATCTGAAGATAACCAGCATCACCTCTTTCAGTTTCTACTTCTAATTGTTTAAAGCTTTGATTTGATGATTTGTAACCAACGAATAAACGCATGCATTTAAAAGCGGCATCACATGTGAAAGCTTTATTTGAAACTAGAGTTGCTTTAACTTTGCGTTTAATATATGTGTCACCTAATTGGTTCACATCATGAGCCGGATTTGTAATTCTTAAATGAGTTTGTTTATCATCAAAATATGGAGCATCAGAGTCATAGCATGAACTTTCAAGTTCTCTATAATATCTTCTACCGTCATTCTTTGCGAATATTTCATTTATCTTTTCGAATGAATGAAACACATTTCCATTAATCGGTTTAGTGTTTGGCACCAAATAGTTAGTCGTCATTTATTAATAAATAAAAAATCAAAATTAAAAGATGAAAATGAATTTTTAATTTTAATGAAATAATCAACTATGGCTGCAGGTATATTTAAGAAACTGTGGGATAAAGTAAAAAGAGGAGCGCATAAAGTTTGGGAAACATTGAAGAAAGGAGCAAATTGGATATTTAAGAATAAAGAAGCAATTAGTGACATTGCTGAATCAATAACACCAAAAGCTGCCCCAATAAGAGAAGTTTTAAATAAAGGAGAAAAAGTTTATCAAAGACTTCAACCGATACTAAGATAAAAATAATTTTAAAATAATTTATTTTTCCACTATCTACCTCCTATTTTATTAAGTATTCCTTCAGCAATTCCACCAACTGCGTTACCTGCTTGTGCTCCCATCGCCGGATTACCTGCTTTAGTACCTAATACTCCACCTATGATAGTTCCTGCCGTTTTCGCTACTGGTGCCAAAAAGTTTGCAACGGGTTTAATAATCTTTTTATAAACCCAACCCGCAGCTTTCTTAATTCCATCCCATAATTTTTTAAAGAATCCTGCCGCCATTTCTGATTTAATATTAATTAAAAAAATATATTTCATCACTTATATTCTAATTTTTATTTAATGATAAATGAAACCGATTTTAAAAATAAATGAAACAGAGGAGGAAGAAATAAATGAAAGTGAAAATGTTCAACAAAAAATAAACGTTGTTAAACCAATTACTGAAATAAAAATTTTTTCAGAGAAAGGGACAGACTAGCCCATTGTCACTTTTTAATTTAGCAAATGAACGCTTATGGAGTGGAGTTTTTGGGTAAATCTGATTTGCTTATAAATGAAATAAAATCAAAAGAAACCATATTGGCATTATATTATGCAAAAATAAATGATCTTACTTAGTACTTTTAAAGTTAATTTCAGAAAAAAATTTGACACAATGGTATCCGGCACATACAAGTGGTGTACAACCAAAATATAAGTTGGTTTAAACATATATTGCTATATCTCATGATCTTACTTAGTACTTTTAAAGTTAATTTCAGAAAAAATTTGACACAATGGTATCCGGCACATACAAGTGGTGTACAACCAAAATATAAGTTGGTTTAAACATATATTGCTATATCTCATGATCTTACTTAGTACTTTTAAAGTTAATTTCAGAAAAAATTTGACACAATGGTATCCGGCACATACAAGTGGTGTACAACCAAAATATAAGTTGGTTTAAACATATATTGCTATATCTCATGATCTTACTTAGTACTTTTAAAGTTAATTTCAGAAAAAAATTTGACACAATGGTATCCGGCACATACAAGTGGTGTACAACCAAAATATAAGTTGGTTTAAACATATATTGCTATATCTCATGATCTTACTTAGTACTTTTAAAGTTAATTTCAGAAAAAATTTGACACAATGGTATCCGGCACATACAAGTGGTGTACAACCAAAATTTCATATCCCTGGTTTTACATTTATGTTTAGTTTTATTTCACCTAATTTTCAAAGATCATAATTGATTCCACTTATAAGCTCTTGCGCTCTCGCATACCATTTTATGCCGTCACTGGCAAATTCGCGGAATCAGTTGTTTTTCCGTTTTTGTATTTTTTCGTTTGGCCCGACACAAGTGAAAATATACAAGTTTGTCTCACAGCATATTTTGGCTCCATCAATCGCGAACCATCTTATTTTTCAATGGACTGCGCACCTCAAATCACAAATGCTGTTGAAACAGCCATCCCCTTATGCCAGATCATTTGGTGTGGCGTTCATGTGTTGCGCGCTGTCATGAGAAAGGCTGAAAAGTTTCAAGATCGTTCCAACTTCGAAACTTTCTATAACTTAATGAAGTTATTGGTCTTTGGTTCTGAAGAGGAAGAAATTGATCCTGATGAAGTTTACAACAATTTAGAAGAAATTTTAAATGAGGAACCTGCTGCCCGTGAATACTTTGACCAACAGTGGCGCCATCATCTTGACAGGTGGATGCTTCGCTATATAAATGAAGGAGATGGAACAAACAACATCTCGGAATCACATTTCAAGGTTTTGAAGCACCAGTACTTCCCAGAAAGGCGAAATCTTCGACTCGATGAACTTGTCATCGAGTTATATTCCAGTGTTGTTCCTTCATTCCTGATTAAGTTGCAAATTAAAGGTCTGGATTCAGAGAGAAGTGTTAAAGTTATCAAAAAAGTCACAAGAGATTTCGAAGAAATGACACAATTTAAAAAAGTCGAATGCATCAGTATGCTTGAAGCTGTTCAGAAAGGTCTGAAAAATGATACACTTGATCCCAACATTGTTTACTCAACATTAAAAATATTATTGCAAAGAAAACATTTGATTTAATAAACATTTAATTTATTATAATTAATTTTTTATTACAGTATAGTAAAAAATGCTATAAATAAATTATTATATTTTATTAAAATGTGACTTTTAATAGTAAGTGAATAAAATAAATCAGGAATTGGGAAAGAAATAAGGTTAATTAAAATAATGAAAATTACAAGTTTAAGGTTAATGAAAAAGTGACAACGGGCGAGTTTGTCCCCCACTCATTTTTTCATCTGTTGAAGAATTTAATGACTATTATGCTAATAATAAAAAATTATTTGAAGAATTGACAACATGTAAATTGAATAAAATGTTTAAAGTTGATGGATTCAAAATTTCAAAAATAAAAGGGGTGATTAGTTTGAAATCTATTCCTCAATCAAGAATCACCTCATTAATGAAAATAGATGATTTAACAAAAAGAATAGAAGAGATTGAAGAAAGAATGAATCAAATAATTGATTTCATAAATTCAAATAATCATTAGTTTCTTAAAGTTCTATGTTGAACTCATCAAATTCATCTTCATCTTCATCATTAACGGTTCCTTTTGTCTCTTCTGTGGCATTTTATTAAAAATAAAAATAAATTATTCAAAAATGTAAGACATGAATTTTTAAAGTTTATTTTTAAAAAAATTTTTTTTATTTTTATTTTTATTTCATTATGTATGGGCTGAGTGTAAATGTCTTACGTTTACAAAATTTTTTAAATCTTGATTTATTCAAAAACGTAAGAATAAAAACCGTAAGAATCATACATTTTTTATTTCATATGTTAAAAAAAATGATACAAAATCGTTCAATATTGTATGAATTCTTACGTTTACAAAAAAAGTCACACAACCCATCCACATATACTACTATATTCATAATAATAATTTAATTTATTTATTTTAAAATTTTATTAATTCTAATCTCTATATTGCTCTAAATATCAATAATAGCTTATTAAAGGCATTATAATATACAAATGCAAACACAATTAAACAATATCTCGTAATTCCCCTTTTTAAGATATGTATCCAAGTTTCTATCGTTGTTTCTTGAATATATATATATCAAAGATATGAATAGCGCTGGTTTTGTGATTGCATAAACAACTTATATATCAATATACTCAGTATAAGTGCATATATACTTGGTATAATTTGGTTGTCCACCGAATGTATGCTCATATGGTGGATTACTTGCACTTTTTTTCTTTGATGCAAATGTGTCAGATACAATTCCTGATTTGCTCATACAAGTGCAGGGTCCTAGTGATAGACCCTGCAAATACATGAGCAAATCAGGAAAAACTTGCACTTTTTTTCTTTGATGCAAATGTGTCAGATACAATTCCTGATTTGCTCATACAGGTGCAGGGTCCTAGTGATAGACCCTGCAAATACATGAGCAAATCAGGAAAAACTTGCAATTGATCTGAAGAATGTGAATCTAGCCTTATATTTCAGAAAATGATTTTATATTTGCAAGGAATGAGCATCATCCTATGCAAAGGTAAACTCATTTTAGAAAAATTTCTTTTTTTTGGAAATGATTATTCTCAAATTCTATCTAAAACTCTCAATTAATAATCATATTCTCATTTAAACCTAGGGCTGTACAAAATCGAGAAAAACATTGCCGTGCGGTAATATAGGGTCAAAACTATTGATGTGGCGGTAAAATCACGGTAATTCACGGAAAGCTATATGCGAAAATTTGAAATTATACAAAATCGAGCGAAACACTTTTAAATAGGTTGTTCTCGTATTTAAAATACTATTCCCAGATTTATTGTCGTCAGAATATTTCCAAATTTTTGCCGATTTACAAAAAATGATTTACAAAGCATATTTTTTAATCTAAAAAATTCCTAAAAAAAGGAACCGGTGTGCGGAAACCTCGGTAAATTACCGCGGTTCCCGTTGGGACTGCCATATTTAAACCATATATAACATTACTTTATAAATCTAGATTTTTCCAAATTCTTAATTTTCATATGAAATTTATAATTTTTTATTTTAAGGATACCCTTACGTGTCAGATTTTTTGCGCATACGAAGAAGTCATGCTAGACATGAGCTATAAACCTGAAATTTTAGCAACATATTTAAAACCTTTTAAACTACAATACACTTTAATATTCAAGAACAAAAATATTCTTTTTAGAAATTACATAATTATTTTATGTGAAATCTATATAAAAACATATTTTGCAAGCGTAACTTTTTTCTTTATAAGCACCTTATATGACTGATAAACTGTGAAGGCACATAATTGTTAATTCATAGAGTTGATATGTTTCCAAAATTGAGAGGAAATTTGAAAATTGAATACCATTTCAATTCAATTTTCAAAAGATATCAGCTCCTTCAATAATTGAAGGACGATTTTGATCATTTGCTCTTAAAACAAGTATGCCATGGAGAAAAAAGTTACGCTCGCAAATCTGAAATATAACTATCATATAAAAAAATTAAATTTCTAATTTTTTACTCTATAGATATTATTGGCCACTTGTGTAATGCATAAAAGTTTATGTCATATGCATCCATTTGGAAGTATGGGAGACGAGGGAAATTACTTCTATGAGGCACTAGGATTTTTAAAAATTTCTCTATCGGACTCACCATTCAATTTCTCGAAAATTAAAAAAAATCAATAATAGCTAAAATGTATTATGCATAACAAATTTTAATGTTACACGGTATTTTTTGAACTTCATGACATGAATTTTCTTTATATTATTTTTTTTTGGATTTTCTATGATTTATGCGATAGGCTGGAACAACATTGTAAGTGCAATGATATCATTTATAGAGAAATCTAAAACTTCAGCATTCAGAACTCGCAACCACAAAAATATTCATTTGCTAAGTAAGTAAAGTTGATTAAGTTCGACACTTAGCTTTTATACGTAAAACCAAGTGTGTATTGTTATTTCTTGTTAAATTATTGAGAAAAAAATAAATTGTAAGAGAAACGATACTGATTATTGAAATAATATTGAGGGTAGCTGCAGATTTCTTCATTAACATGCCGGAAATTTGTTAATCTTGGTTTTCTATCATAAAATCTGTCGAAGAATCTAAAAACGGAGATATGAAATAGAGATCATGTAAATCTAGAGTATCCTGTCAGAAAAATAGACTAAGCATGTAACCCTTTTTTGGTCATAAACACTTTTTACCACTTAGTCATACAGATGATCATTAAATTTAAACGAGCACTTTTTGTCAGAATTTATTCTTTTACAAAGACAGAAGATTTTAGTATTATTTAATATTAGTGCTGTAGCAAAATTCAAAAAACGGTGAAAATTCAGTGAATTTGTGAATTCACATTTTTTTTCGACATTTTTCTTGATATATCCATGCACATTAAGAACACAGCTTTGATACGCTTAAAAAAGCATATTTCATATGAAATTGTTAAAGAAATAAACAATTTATATAAAAATTGCACTTATGGGCAGTTTAGATATATAATTTATATATAACATATATACAAATCCATAGACAAAGTGCAATAACTACAATGTTGTAGAAAATTACAGCAGAAATACTGACTTTTTGAAGGATAATAAGAATTCTTCTAAAAATACTGAAAATTAACATATTTCTGTACTCAATTTAGTATATGCACAGAAGTTATGATTTGGTGTTAGGTTTTTATGCCCCAAAATCTAGATTTTTGTGACATCAAATCTTATTAGTGGATAAATCAAAGACTGTCATTTTGAAATAAGCTCATATCAATAAATATCCATTTAAAAGCCTTATTGTAATATGTAACTAGCAAAAAGCCTAATATTTATCAAAATTAATCAAATCAAATGATCAATATTCATGATATGTCATCAGCAATAGCTAATTGATATTTTATTTTGTATTGATATTCATTTTTCTCATATTATACACGATTATATCTCTTTTTTTAAAAAAAGTTTTTATATTAGACATGAAAGTTGAATTAATACAATTTTGTACTAGAGTTTGTTTGTATATTAAATAATAATGATATATACTTCAACATATTGCGTCTCACCATTACCAAAATGTAATTTTGCATACAATTTTCTTTCATTTAACAATGATGTTATTTGAAAAGTGATACTTCCATGATTATTGATTAATGTTCCATCATATATAGGAATGAATGTTAAACAAGACACGCCTGCAGCTGGGTGCATTCGTGGCATTGTGATAAGGCTTATATATAAAGACTTCTCTCGATCAGCATTACGTCAAATGAATATTGACCCATTATTTTGGCGATGCGCTAGTTCCAAGTAGAAATGCTTTGGTATATTTAGGTTATGTCTATATGTTATGAATCATGGTATTATTGATAAAAACGTTCTTAGTCATTAAATCAATCCTAGTATCTAAAGATATAATTTAGATTTTTTTGTTTATTGCTAAAATTAAATACAGTATAACTTTCTTTCATATTGTCGGTACTAACAATACAAGATTGTGTTGAAAAAAACTTAAATATGCATGAAAATTAAATTTAATGTGTAAATATGATAAAAATTTCAACTTTACTAATAACATACATAAGTTTCTGATAGTTTAATATAGTTCATATTGATGTGACTGTAAACTATATCAAAAAAATATTTTTAAATATTGTTATGCAAATAATGGGATTTCTAAGGAAAAAATGATTATATTTGTTATATAAAGCAATCTTTTTAATTATTCACTACGTTTATTACATTTTTTGCCGACCATTTACGTAATATGCCTCCACCAAGCAGACGCAAACAACAAAGTCGTGAAGCTAACGAAAAATCAATTGAAGCAAGAAAAAACTCCCAAGAAAAGAATGCGCCAAAGGAAGTCGATCCAAAACACTGGACTGCTTCTGTAATTGTTAATGGTGACTCTTATACTCGAGCAAGGAATTTATTTCAAGATAACAATATTAAAGTGCCGAGTGAAAAAGAGTTTTACCGTCATCAAAAAGAAATAGGTAAGGTAATACTAGAATATAAAGAGCAATCTATTAAAAATGCTCAACAAACAATGAAGAAAGATACATTTTTAAGCACTGATTCGCATTATAATGTTGGCAGAAATGCTACAGCGTGCCAAAGTTTAATGATGGACAACCGTGGAAAAGTTGTTGGTGAAACAACTGTTATAAAAAAGAGCTCTGGAGGAGACTTTGAAGGCCATCCAACATGATGGAAACAGAATGTACAAAGAGGATGATGTCAAATTTTGACTTTACAAATGTTTCCACAGTGGTTCATGACAATGACAATAAAACGAAAGCCATCATCCAGCAATATGCTCCGAATGCTAAAATTACACTTGATCCTCGTCATTGTGTACGTGCAGTTGGCAGAGCTTTCGAAAAGCTTGAAAATGGTGGATATAAAGAAGCAGCAGGAAAAGAAACTGTTAATCAACAGAAAGAAAGTGAATCACAGCCAGCATTCCCAATCAAATCTAAAGCAGAAGAGCCGAAGAAACGTGGAAGACCATTAAAACACCAAGAAAAAGTATTTCATCAGATATATTCGAAAGTTATTAAGTGGTTCACTTTTATTATCATGCTTCCAATTGAAACAACGAAAAAAATTTTCCTATGGAAGAATACATTAAATCATTTTATCGGAAGGCATGAAAATTGCCTTCACGAAAAAGACAAAGAATATCCTGTGTTTCAGCCACTTACAAAACCTGATTTAGCGAAGCAATTTCAACGTTTTACAGATGATGCCGCAAAGTTGATTCCAGAAATTGATCCTAATGCTCAAACACAACAAAATGAATCGATACATCACTCAATGCTTACTCAGTGTCCCAAAGGAAACAACGCAAAATCGTTTGAAATGCGTACGGCTGTTACAATTTTACAAAAAAACGAAGGAGAGAAATGCAAACAAGAAATATACAATCGTGTCAATAATTACCAAATATCTCCTTCAATCCGCGAACTCCAAAAACTTGAATATGAGAAAAATAAATCCAGAAATCAAAAGAAAGCTACACCAGAAACAAGAAAAGAGATCAACAAGGCAAGAAATGCAAAAAGATTTCCTAAGGATAACCCTACAGGTGATTACAGAGGAGGAAAGTGGACCCCACAAGATATCTAATTTTCAAATTTGAAATAAACACATATTTTCTTTGTATTTGAAAATATTTTTATATTATAAGATTTTTGAACCTATAAGTAGCATGACAAAAATTATATAATTTGCTCCTTTTTTATTTTAGTATACAAATATCCCATTTGTTATATGTTCGGTATATATATGATGATATTGTAATCAATTATGCTTAATGAAGCTTTATCCCGTGAACCCCTCATATTATTGGAAAATAAATAGCGAAAACATGTAGAGCTGCTATGTTCTCAAGTGTATGCTGATTTTTGGATTATTTCATGAAAACTAATGGCGGGATATCTTGCATTATTTAAAAAAATTGAACTATGCAAAAATAAATAGTATTATATTTTTTCTCATGAAATGCTATTATGAGACAACCATAAAAAACCATATGTTGTATTTTTATAATTTGATTGATTTTTTTTACTATTTCATTAATCTTTTATGAATAATAATTATTTTTAATATATGTGCTATTAAAATTTCAAATTTTGACTAATATATCTAAGTTATCTGAACGAAACATTTAGAAAATATCATACTTACATTGAAATAGCAAGTAGAGCATATTAATAGCAAGTTTCTTGGCTTTATATCTATCATCTATTGTTGTTTGATCAAACAAAATTCACTCTATTATATGGTGTCAATTAATTAAAACAATTTTTAATAGTTATTTATTTAGTGCGAATAAGTGCAAACTCATAAATGAATAACTTAATAGTAGAAATGAATTATCTGATATAAATCTCACATTTTGTCCATCCGAAATACTTTAATTGCATACGCATAACTATTAGTAATACGTCTGGAGTGTCAATTAATAACAATCCCACAACAAGTAAAATTCAGATTTTTATTAAACTTATTTTTTCCTAAAAGTTTTCTCAAATTACTATATATACATATGTGGATAAAATAATAGTAATATTGTAAAAAATTAGATAATTTTTTTTATTTGAGAACCTCTCAAAAGTTCATTCAATTTATCAATTGTTTCAGTTTGATGTATATTCATTTCTGGAGCCTAAAACTTTAGCAATCATGACAATATCATATTCTCTTTCTAACTACGCAATGTAAGGGTATCCTTAAATTCAGAATTTTGAATTTTTTTTGGAAATTTTTATTTAATTTTATGTTTATTTTATTATATTCTTTATATATAACAATTTTTTCAAGTTTATTTTTTCAATATATACGATAATTATTAATTCAATTTTTAAACAAATGTTTTGATGGGACGAGCTTAAAGATCATAGGCTCATCCCATCAAAACATTCACTTAAAAACTCTGGCCTTCATCGAGGCCAGAGTTCACAATTCATATCCTCGAAGCCATGTTCCTCGACGGTCGTCCTCATTAGGCACGATCCGAGAGGAACTTGGCTCTGAATGAAACTCACAAGCTCTGGCTTCAGGAAAGGCCAGAGCTTCGCAAAGCATCCTCGGGGCCGGTTTCCTCAAAGGCCGCCCTGATTCGGGCGGTCGGAGAGGATTCCAGTCCCGAGAGAACGTCCCTACGAAGCTCTGGCCTTATCAGAGGCAAGAGCCTGCAAGATCAATCCTCAGGGCCGAGTTTTTCCATCTTCGTCATCATGGTAGATGATCTCGTGAGAACTCGGCCCTGAAAGACTTCATATTACAGGTCCTGGCCTCATGAGAGACCAGAACTTCGCAAATAATGCTCAGAGCCGGCTTTCTCAAATGCCGCCATGATCTATGGCGGCAGGTGAGGAATCTGGCCCTAAAAACATATTATTACGAAGCTCTGGCCACAATGGAGGTCAGAGCCTGCAAGATCAATCCTCAGGATCGAGGTTGAGGGAGATCGTCCGCATCATTGACGATCTCCTATCATCTCGATCCTGAAAGACTTAAAAATGCAGGATCTGACCTCTACAGATGCTACAACCTCGCTTACAGTTCTCAGAGCCAGCTTCTCAAATACTGCCATGATCTATGGCGGCAGGAGAGGAATCTGGCCCTGAGAACGGACTATTACGAAGTTTTGGCCACAGTAGGACCAGTTCCTGAAAAAATACTCCCTTAACAATAAATTAAGATTTATTTTATCCAAGAAAGCCTTGAAGGAAGTCCAAACCATGAGAATGGGCTTCCTTCCAGGCTTACTGGTACTACTGGAGCGATTTTTGCTTCCATTGCAGCTCCTGAAATATATACTATAAATTATATTAAAAACATTGAGAATTTTGATTTCTATTTCATATGTCCAGCCTATAAAAGCATAGTAATGAATATTCCTGGCTCAAATCAGTTGAAAATGCAATTTTGTGCTGAGATTTCCAAAATTGGTTATAAAACTAGACTATTTTAATGAAGAAAACCAATAATAGGATCTCAAGTAGTAATATTCATTATGTGTTGTATAAAATAATTAATTCAAATATATAAATTAAAAATGAAACTATTTATATTCATTTTATTAAATTATCTATTGTTCACAGTAAAATCTAACTATTTCACATTTCAATAACCTGATACTATTGCTCAAACTTTAATAATTGCAATAATAAAGTTTTGGAATATATTCTCTATATTCATTCTGTGAGATACACAAATAAACACATTAGAAGTAGTATAGAAACATATATTACAATTATAACACAATGTCAAACACATCTCTTACCATTTAATAAAATTAGATAAAGAATCTCCAAAAATTAAAATATGTGTTTTTGCACTTATTTCTATATTTTATGCATTACTATAGGTATTCCGATATGAACCAATGAATTTTATCTGTTATATGTCAAAAACAACTTTAATCTAATGTGATCAAGTTGCATGATATACAACCATACATCCACTGCATATCCACATGATTCTATATATAATAGAGCATGTTCCTATCTAAATTAAAATGTTAGAAATGAATTGTACGAATTTTAAAACAAAAATTATTATTGTCGTCTGACGACAATAATAATTTTGTCACTTTTCTAGACGACAATAAAACATCCTCATTTTTTTTAGTGTGCTACCCTCCAAAATTCAGTTTTGTGCGGTGAAACCTGTTATTGAGGAAAACTGTTGAATCTGGTCGTACCGTTTCGAGCCGTGTTTAAGCCATGCAAGAGTCAGACTTGGATGATATAAGTTATTAGTTGATCTGAATCTTCAATATCTAAGTTGATGTATTATTCTAGTTTTGAGCATACACATAGATTTTAGTGAGTATTTGCATATATGTCTTATCATTTATTAGTGGTTTACCGCATGATTTGCATTAAAATAGAATTGATTTGAGGAATAATTGCAAATAAGCGAGTAATTATGTTATCACATTGGATAACCTATCTTAATATTATATTTTGGACGAATTTTAAGTGTCACAGAAATTGAAAGCAATAATATTTGCGGGAAGATTTGAATGGATATTTCGGTTGGCGGGGAAATTTGAAAGAAAAAGAGGCGCCAAAAAAGGTGTCATTTTTCATTTGGTTTTCTCTCTCGAGCAGCCAAGTAATCCGTATTACGGATGTGCTAGTAAGTCAAAGCAGATCTTTACATCAGTTGTGCGATGTTAAGATTCTCATTTGATTGAAAACAAAAGCTGTAATCGCTTTACTTTTGTTGTCTCGTAATAGCTCAAAGCTGATGAATACACCAGTTGTGCGGCGTTATTTATCGAATTTGAGTTCATAGTATTCAATGAAAGTTTTGGATAATGATTTTTAAAATTATTGACTTTCCTTTAACACGTCATTTAGGATCACCCACGTTTCTTACAGTTCATCCCGTCTTGATAGAATCTTGTTGAAAATGCTATCATAGCCAATTTCCAGAATTATTATTATTTTTTTTTGCTATAACATAAATTGACGAACAAAATCATATGCCAAGGGAAAGGTTATCATTCTATTTCAGATCCCTTAACTTTTAAAGAGTTAAAAATATGGATCTCATCCTGGAACGTTTGTCAAGACTGAAAACATATGAAACATCAAAATCTTTTGAAATCAACAGAATACTGGAAAGAACCGCGGTTGTTGTAAAACTTTTGATATTACAAATAAATGTTTTAACGGACAAGAGTGCAAAACACACTCTTGTCAGTCACAGTGTTTCATTCCGGGAGACATTGCCTATGCATGTCTCCCACAATGGCACAATCTTTTTGCAATCACAAGACGATTGCAAAACTTTGACCGACAAGAGTGCAAAACACACTCTTGTCAGTCTTAATGTGTCATTCCGGGAGACATTGCTTATGCATGTCTCCCACAATGGCACAATCTATTGGGAATCAAAAGACGATGGGGGTATTTTTGACAGGCAAAGTGCAATACTATAAGACGATTGCACTTTGCCTGTCACATACATCTCGACAGAGGCAACATTCGATATGAAAGTTGCCTCTGTCGAGAAACTTCCTCACACCTCAAGAGATGCGAGGAACTTTTGACAGGCAAAGTGCAATACTATAAGACGATTGCACTTTGCCTGTCACATACATCTCGACAGAGGCAACATTCGATATGAAAGTTGCCTCTGTCGAGAAACTTCCTCACACCTCAAGAGATGCGAGGAACTTTTGACAGGCAAAGTGCAATACTATAAGACGATTGCACTTTGCCTGTCACATACATCTCGACAGAGGCAACATTCGATATGAAAGTTGCCTCTGTCGAGAAACTTCCTAACATCTCAAATAAATACAAATTCATTATCCTAATTCTACTACTTTACATAACAAATCATCTTATAAATATTCATATAACTTCAATAACATTAAATCTAATTTCTTATCTCATAATACTTTCTTAATTTGATTCATCTTTTGACAAAATTTTAAAATTGAGGCACAACATATATCAACCCATGCACCACTACCGATGCAGGCTCAACCGCGCATCTTTCGTTTTTTTTGCATGTTTTTCGTCTCAAAGCATGGTCAATAGACCGTCTCAAAGACGAAAAACATGCAAAATTTTTATACACTCTCATAATAACATATGACAGATAGGGAAGAGAAAACACCATATAATGCTGCATAAATACTATATATTGAAAAAGATATTAAATATATTTTATTAAAATCATAATAAATTTGTGTTTACTTAATGAGATAGATGTACCTAGTATAATTATTATTGAATGTACTAAGATATATTTAAATAAAGATATTTTTTGTATATTATATAAGATTGGAATTAGTATTTATGAAGAAATTGCAACAACGCGTTGTGATATGTGTGGATATATGATTTTGAGAGAGAATAATTTTGGATTTTTCATATTTTAATAGGGATGTGATTTGATCATATTGATAGTGTTGTATTATAGAGTGTAAGTGGGATGGAATTCTTTTTGATTTGTAATAGATTTCGATAGAGGCAACTTTCATATCGAATGTTGCCTCTGTCGAGATGTATGTGACAGGCAAAGTGCAATCGTCTTATAGTATTGCACTTTGCCTGTCAAAAGTTCCTCGCATCTCTTGAGGTGTGAGGAAGTTTCTCGACAGAGGCAACTTTCATATCGAATGTTGCCTCTGTCGAGATGTATGTGACAGGCAAAGTGCTAACGTCTTGTTATTGCAAAAAGATTGTGCCATTGTGGGAGACATGCATAGGCAATGTCTCCACGGATGGCACATTGTTACCGACAAGAGTGCATAATACACTCTCGTCGGTCAAAAGTTCCCCAATCAACTTCTGATTGAGCAAAATTGTATCATTATCTGAGGCATGCACTAGCAATGTCTCCCAGAATGAGATATTAAGACTGACATCAATAAAGCTTTTTATATAGTTGAAACTAGATTCATTCTTCATAGCGTTCAAATTTTTATTAGAAATAATGTAGTTAATGCTAAAATTGTAGTATTTACGTAGTGATAATCATATTCATACTGTAATTCATGTGATTATAATGCAAACCCACTAAGTAATTCTTTTGCTAAATTGAAATTGAAAATTTGATTATGCCATTTTGAGCTCGATGTATTAAATGTAAAACATTTTTCATATGAGAATGCAAAATCCAAAGACTTTTCTATTTGTTAAGTTGCTTGAATCGTGAATTTGGAATTTTTATCAAAATATGGGCAAATAAGCTCGGCGTTGTCACACATTCACTCCCCCTGAAGTTGTGCTTTAATCAGAAGTCATGCTATTTTTCCAAATTTTTTCAAAATAGAGAAAATGATGAAAAATCTCTCATTTATTACATTCAAAATTTTAAATTTGAATTTTTTTTGGAAAATTTGTGATTCAAATTTCAATTTCTCCAAGTAAAACTGAAAATATTAACAGATCAAATCATAGAATTAACTTATCAAATTCTGTTGTATTCATTTCTTGCGATAATTCCGTTCAAAAGCTTTGTTTAAATCTATTTATTTTAATAATAATAAAATAGATAGATCTCCGCTATGAAAACATGATACCATGCTGATATGAAATATGAGTTAACATATAATTAAAAAGTTTCTACAATTAATAAGAAATTTATTACTAACTCTTTATTTTAACTATATTGAAACTTTTTATATGCATTCTGGCCAGTAAAGATCCAGAGAACCACATCTGCATCAATTTATGCTGAAGATTTCTGGATTTCATTACTCTTTTGAAAGACATCCAGATATCTTCAGCATAAATGAATTACATACATGTTCTCTCGCTCTTTGTGAACCACCTACCACAACAAAATTACCTTAAGGCAAAGTTCGGCTGAAGTCTCCCATATGATGAGAAAGAAACTTTAGAGCAGCTTGCCATATCCGACTAATTACACAATCCCTAGCCCTTTGGGGACTATGGAGCTGTAGTAAAAGTATTATAAGGCAAAGTCCTTCCGAGGCCTCTCATCAAATGCGAGACTTCGGAAGGACTTTGCCTCATTCGAGTAATTCTACATTCCTGGGACGTTAAGGACCAGGAAGCAGCAGTATAAAGTATGAGGGCAATGACGTATAACTAATATCTCAATAAACGCAGTATCCATGCAGCCTAGCTACTATACCATTGCAGCTAGGCTGCATAGATATTGCGCTTCTGGCTTGCAGAACTCTCATGGTAGACTAAGCGGAGATCTGATGCTGAAATCACTTGCTGATGTGGATGGAGCAGCACTATGATTGGCCAGACCAAAGGCTGCGTAGCATCTCAGCAAGTAGATTATCGGCGGTGACTCCAGCTATGGTCCACCATGAGATTATGACATTTTTACGATTTGACGGGAATGCTTTGACCTTTACGAGTAAAATCACATCCGACACCTTTGATGGGTCAAGAAGTAGTGGTATACAATAAGTGTTGGGATTGCAAAGATGAATCTGAATAGACGCAAAAGTAAGAGAGACAGGCGTGAGATAACCGGTAAGAGTCAATGGAAAGTATCGAAGGTGTCTCTAGTTTGAAAGTCCAAACAGCTGCAGGGAATTAGTGTTGGGCCTTAATGCAATTGATCATCAGAAACTATTTATTACTACACTTATCATCATTACATGTTGTGCGATGTAATAACTAAGAAAGAAATAGCTCAGGAGATCAATGAAATTCTCTTTGGCTAGCTCTTCGAGACCAACTCTTTTCTTCATGTTTTGTCATTGCATGTTGTGCGGTGCAATAAATAATGAAGATTTACTTGGCTGCTCGAGAGAGAAAACCAAATGAAAAATGGCACCTTTTTTGGCGCCTCTTTTTCTTTCAAATTTCCCCGCCAACCGAAATATCCATTCAAATCTTCCCGCAAATATTATTGCTTTCAATTTCTGTGACACTTAAAATTCGTCCAAAATATAATATTAAGATAGGTTATCCAATGTGATAACATAATTACTCGCTTATTTGCAATTATTCCTCAAATCAATTCTATTTTAATGCAAATCATGCGGTAAACCACTAATAAATGATAAGACATATATGCAAATACTCACTAAAATCTATGTGTATGCTCAAAACTAGAATAATACATCAACTTAGATATTGAAGATTCAGATCAACTAATAACTTATATCATCCAAGTCTGACTCTTGCATGGCTTAAACACGGCTCGAAACGGTACGACCAGATTCAACAGTTTTCCTCAATAACAGGTTTCACCGCACAAAACTGAATTTTGGAGGGTAGCACACTAAAAAAAAATCATGCCCTCATTGCTACCTTTGCAAAAGCGTAAAGTACGAAACAAACTTTGTTTGCAAAGTGATTCACGTAGAAGATAAGGAATTAAATGAAAATTATAAGATCACATACCATCGAGAACTTGAGATCCTTAGTAATTTCATTCATCCAAATATTATTGGAGTCTACGATAGTTTTATTGAAGGAGATGATTACGTTTTAGTTCTCGAATATTGCGAAAACGGAAGCTTTCAGGATAAGCTCAATGCCAAATGCTCAATTGAACCGGAATATCTTCTCCAGCATTCAAAAGAAATTTTATCCGCTCTCGCTTACATCCATCAGAAAAATGTAGCTCACCATGATATTAAACCATCTAACATATTCATCGATAAGTTTGGCCGTGCAAAATTAGCAGATTTTGGCATTGCCCAAACTTTCCGAGAAAACGAGCTTAAATCATGCGTTTATGGTGGAACAATTGCATTCATGGCTCCAGAACAGTTTAAGAAAATGCCTTATTCAGCTTATCAGTCCGATATTTGGGCATTTGGAGTTACTTTATTCATGATTGCTTTTGGCAGGCTTCCATTCATTGGACATACAATTCCTGAAGTTATATCTTCTATTTGCTCTGGTATCTACACAATTCCCATGAATTGTCCAAAAGAAATCAGAACGTTAATTCAGCATTCTCTTGAATTAAAGCCAGAAGATAGATGGACAGCAAAGCAACTTCTTGATTCTCTCAACAAATCGCTCAGTTGCTCAATGTTAGTTAAGCGTCCAAAGATTTCAAGCCAGAAATCAGCTCCATCACAATTATTACTTCAGCCAAGTTTCATCAAGCCAAAACCAAAGCCAAAGCTTGTTATCCCGGTAAGACCACGAAGAAATTCAAGTCATGAGTAATCTTGTTTTGTTTTTATTTGTTTTTTATTTAAAGCGTTGTTTATTTTATTGTTTGTTATGTTAATTACTGATTATTTTTCAGTGTATAAATTAAATTTTATCATGGGAAACAAATTTTTGCAGAATGTTGTTTATTCAAGTGTTGAATCCTTTTCCAATCATATCAAATGCATTACCACGAATGTTGTAATATGTCATTATTCTATACGAATTGAAAATTAAGATGCCATTTTACTATTTTGATATCAAAACATTTCTTATATATCTTTCCTATATAGTTATTTTGGATTATGATATTCATAAGCTTATTTATTGAAATTCCAGATAAATTTTATAGAAATACAAACATTTATAAATTTTTATTCAGATATCAGCATGTAGGATTAAAAATTAAATCTAACCACTTCTTAATTTTCCCCAAAAATCATCAAGAACAATGAAAATTGAAAAAAATGATGTAAACTTGTTCATTTTTTCAACTTCAAATTTCTCTTTTACAATATTTTTGAAATTTTTATCAACTCATAATTTATTTATCATAGGCTATTATCATCATTTTATCATTCAAATATAGTGTTTGCTTATTTTTTTAAATTAATTTTTTCCTATGATTCAATTATCCTAGTTAAAACAATAATATTTGTTAATATTCATAAAAATAGATAAAATCCCCGCATAGGTTTTGTTCAACCAAACAATAAGTAGCAATTTATATTGGTATCATGTGAAAATAGATTTAGTAGATTGAAATTACACCATCATTATCTAGTGATTAATGAAGTAATAATATGTGATGATATACATTTACGAAATAATACAATTTTCATTGATTTTACTTTATTCAATGTTTGCTCTTCTCTCAGTTGTTTTATAATCCATCTTCGACTCTGCCTTATTTACAAATTATGATGTGATTATGTATCCAATCAAAAATTATTTCAAAAAGTTGCCAACTGAATACATGATTTAGCCGCGATATTTATTTTTATATGTATACAGCAATAAAAACTCTTAAGTTTTTAACCCTCAGATCTTGAGGCGAAGATTTTTTTTTGTAGTAATGAGAACTTTATATTCGATTTTAACAAGGGGACTTAAGAATAGAATAGAAAACGTATTAAAAGAAATCACAATCCTTGACCAGCAGATTCCATATTTCGCCACAGCTCCGGGATTTCATCAGGATATTCATCTTTTATATACACATTTGAGAAATGTTAAAGCAACATTATCAGATTTAATGATGACTTATCTCACAAAATTCGAGAAATCAGCAGATCCAGATATTAACATATCCAAAGCTTTAAAATTGCACCTAGAAATTTTTAATTCCCATGAATTTATGATACTATCAAGAGAACTACTTGGACACCATTCATCTATAGCAACAATTATTGGAAATGAATACGAAAAAATTACGAAAAACCTCGACGAAGCGACTGATGCTCAATTAAGAATGGTTAGTTTAATTTTTCCATATGAATTTGTATTAAATATGCTTGCAGATCAAAAATTTCTTAAATCGTATATGAGTTTTTGTTTAAAATACACTACAATCAACAATACTTATTATATTAACGAAGTTTTCAAGCTAATTCAAGTATATCATAAAGCTCATTCAGATCAGTACCAGACACTATATTTTACTCCAGACGCTCCAATGTTCTTTGAGCTTGCTGAACATTTAATTGGATTATTTAACTCAGAAATCATGATTGAAACGCAGATAGACAAACTCACAGATTTCCAAATACTTCAGAAGTGCATGATGATCTCGAAATCAGGACCACAAACCTGCGGATTGAATGAAAATTTGTTAAATAATTTATTAAATCACAAAATCGAGCGAATTGATGTCCATTACTTACGTTCAACCATGAATTCTCTACCAGATATAACTTACGAGCCCATTGATATCCCTGCCCTTCAACATATTTCGTTCGAATTACGAAAAACTCAATTACAATGCTGTCCAACCGAAATGCTTCACTGCATTGCCAATACTCTCAAATGGATATCCGATGCTCTTACTGCTGGCGGAAAAGCAGCAGGCGCTGACGAGATTTTCCAATTTTATGTTTATATTATTTCTTCAACCCACGTAATTTGCATCCAAACCCTCATAAACTTCATGGAAACATATGTATACGAGGGGCTCCGTGAGACCAAATACCCGTTCCTCATCTCACAGACCAAAATAGCCCTAGATTTCATTGATGCCAGAATGATTGCAGTAGAACCTTATCTTTTGTTCCCTTTTAAGTACCCACCTGAACGTATGCAGAATATTATTAAGCTTGCTGACGATAATCCTGTGTTTTTGACTGGTTTTGAAGTTATTGCTTTTCCAACTTTTTCTTTTTACTATGAAAACTTCTTTCCGAGCTTGATTTACTACACAGGAAATGATGATGATAACGTCAAAGCTTATAAATATAAAGTAACAGATGGTTTCAACCTGATTTCGCCGAAATGTCCAAATTTCGAAAATGTTGCAACGGTTGATGGCACTTTCTTCCAATTATCCAACCAAGAGGACATCGATTACATCATTATGGATCAGAAAGTCCCAGGACCTCTCTTGGAAAGAATAAATTTGGCTTCTTTTTTGATGAAAAATTTGGAAAAAATTCCAAACAAGCCAAGATTCAGTCTCCTCCTTGAGCAAACGAAAAATATAATTAGTGATTTTGGTAAGGATGGATCAAGCAATCCTTGCCTCGAAATCAGAATAATTATAGCTGAAATTCAAAAATCATTAGTTATATTAAACTTCCTTCCAGCTCAATTCCACATAGATGGAACATTCTCTGATTCAACTGTATTAGCACTGCAGAAATACCTTAAGAATTCCAAGAATTTTGTTATTAATAAGAAGATATATTTTGATCTCATCAAATTCTTATCTCCTTAGCTATTTTAGATAAATTTGTTTGTTTGTATTTGTATTTAATTTTATAATTTCATTTTTTATTTTATATATATATATAGTGTTTAAGTGGGGAACTTTGATATTTTTTTCCACACCATAGTAGTTTCACTTTTTGCATGTGAACTCTATATTGATTCTGGCTAGAAACTAGAGAAATTAAAATTTTTCAATTTTTGACCCATTAAAAGTACCTTTTTGAAAATAAAAAATATTTTTATTAATTATGTGTGATCTTCGACATATATTCATAAAATCAAGTGATTTGGAGTGATTGGCAAAAAAATCTTGTAATATGTTATATGTTTTATAAAAAAACACTTGAATAATAAAAGATATGTCAAAGCGTTTTCAAAATCTTTATGATAATAACGCAATATCGATCAATATCGTTCAAGTTTATGAGAAATTAGAAAATACTAATAAGCTAGAGCTTGAGAAAGTATATTGATATCCTTAAAAATGATTTCCTTGTTGTGAACTTTGAGTGGAAGACTTGCCTTCGATCATTACACAAAAAAATTAGTCAAAAAAAGTCAAAAACGTTTCATTCAATTTTTTTTGACTAATATACTTCATTTTTTTTTCATGACGGGAACCAGATATGCCCAATTAATGCCGTTGTATAAAGGCTATATTGATAGTTTCGATGCATTATACAGATTGCATACTTTCAAAGAAGAAGAAATTGACAATATTACAAGCAAATCAAAATTAATTTAATCGATACAAAATATTTCACCCCATACGAAATAATGGAAGCTATCCAAGATGCCTCAAACTTCAACAACTGTTACTTAAAATCATATTATGAGTTAAATAAAAAATTCTATGAAGAATTTCATCCAGATGAAGTCAAACACCTTAAAACTATCTTTGATTACTTTATTTGCAAAGACTACGGAATAGATATAGACGAGAAAGATAAAGAGAAATACCAGAAATATGATTCTCAAGGTTTTTCATTGGATATAAACAAAACAGATTCAATTTTAATAGCAATAATGGACGATGATATAAAATCATTTATAGCATCAGTAGAATTGAGCGGAAAGCTAACATTTTCTAATAATCTTTTTCCACGAGAGATATCATTATTAGAATTATGCTCTTATTATGGAGCAGCTAAATGCTTTAAGTTTTTAATGACAGAACATAACGCAAAAATCACAGTTGAATGTATTGCTAATTCATTTTTAGGAGGCAATCCAGACATAATTAGTGAATGCATGAAAATACCAGTTCCAAGTTATGTAGACTCAAGGCGAATTTGCGAATATGCTATAATTTCGCATAACATTGATTTCTTCGTTTATGCCGTTGATCATTACAATCTTAAAGATGATATATTCCCATCATATAATAATCTTAATGCATTTTTGATTACCCTAGATAAATCCGATAAAATCTACGATTACTTCTTTATTATGTCACCTCAATTTCATATTCCATCTCTATGCGAATATTTTATTTCACAAGGTGTAGATATCTATGCTCACGACAGATATTTACAAAATGCTCTTTATGCTGCACTTTCTAATAAAGCTGTTGCCGAAACAATTATTGCACATGGCTTTGACATTAATCATACAAACATTGAGGGACGAACCATGCTTCATATTGCTGCATATTGGAAATCAATATGGCACGCTGAAAAACTTATTTCACTTGGAATAGACATAAACGCAAAAGATGTTTATGGCAGAACCGCTTACGATATTGCAAAGAACAAAGAATCAAAAGAAATAATGGAGCTTCTTATTTCGCATGGAGCGACCGTATAAAATTTCATTTTAAGGAATAAAAATTTCGTTTTTATTTAAGGGTGCACTTACCACTTTCTGACATTCTTTCAATTTTTTTAACACTCGATACTTTAGGTCCCAATCTTCGTTGGCAAAAACCTAATATTTATGGTCGGAAAAAAGTTACAATACATCACTATATATTAGCTGTTGGTGCTGCTATACTTATTTGTGATTAAAATAAAGATTTGATGATTTTGGCAGGGGTTGTCAGAAAGTGGTAAGTGCACCCTTAAATAGATGATTTTGCTTAGTATGAACATTCACAAAATTCAATTGGTTTCATCAACTATTTATTCTAACCTTTTCCATCTTATAAAAAATATACTTCTGAGTATAGTGCTCATTTCATGCAAAATAATTGTAATTTACGAACGCTTTTTCATAAATTCTTTATGAGTGCACTATCTTTTTGACATCCAAGATAAAATGTCAATATAGGGTGTCCAAAGGTGCGTTTAGCACAGCGCTCTATATGAGACTATTAAAGGAGATATATGCTGATTATAAATATATAATAAAAAATATGAATATATGTATATGATGAGTATGTTGTATTTTGGCGCCATGCCGGGATATAAAATGAATTTTGAGACAAGAGGCGGTTTCGCGGGAAATTTTGGCGGGATTTTTTTCATTTTTTTAATGAATCATAAAGAAAACATCCTCGCTCTTGCAAAAAAATGCAAAGACTGTAAAAAAATCTACGAGACATTGGTAAAATGCTTCGGTATGGATGCTCCTAGCTATTCCACTGTAACGTATCATGTTAGGATGTATCACTTCATGAACAAAAAGGCGCCCATCATAAAAATTGACAAAAAATCGCCGGATCAAAGAAAAATCAAAGCAATTCTTCAAGCGCTAGATGAAGACCCAAGAGCATCACTCAGAAGGATAGAGGAGATGACAAAGATACCACGTACAACAGTCAGTTATTATCTGTACAATTATTTGAACTACAAACTAGCGTATACACGTTGGGTTCCGCACAACCTTAATTCAGTTCAAAAAAAATCTAGAGTCCAATCTTCGAAAGAGCTCCTCTCTATATTGGGTGCGTATCAATCCAAGAAGTTTCGCTTTTTAGTAACAGGGGACGAGTCTTGGTTTCAATATGCAACAGAAGCCAAAATCATGTGGATCCCGAAGGATGAAAGTCCGCAAACATTCCCGAAGAAAAAAATTGACACACCAATGATGATGTTGTCGGTTTTTTGGGGCGTGAATGGCATCATCGCAATTGATATTCTTCAAAAACCTAATACGATGAATGCTCAGTATCTAATTGACAATGTTCTTACTCAAATTATCAATTCTGATGAGTTTGAGAAATCCAAACAACAAAAACAAAAGTTTGCAATTCATTTTGATAATTCAAGAGTTCACAAAAGTCATAAGGTAATGAATTACTTGGTGGAAAACAATGTCAAAGTTGTTCCAAACCCAATTTATTCACCTGATATTGCACACTCTGACTTTTATTTATTCGGCACGCTAAAAAAGAGAGCTGAAGGACGCGAATTCGCGAGTCCAGATGATCTTGAAAATTTTGTAAGAGAGCAATTTGAGCAATTTTCTCATGATGATTTAAAGCGTGTCTTTCAAGCCTGGATCGATCGCTGCGAACGCGTGATTGAATCCAATGGTGATTATATTTAAATAAACTTTATATATATGTAACTTGTTTATTTCTATTCGCAGTATTCAGGTTTGTGCTAAACACACCTTTGGACACCCTATATTTTTGATCTTGAAAAAATTTGCTGTAAATCACTTTTGAGTGCCTAGTATGATTGCTTTACTTTTTTTTTTGCTATTCTAATATAATATATTGATTTCGCAAGAGCATGTCAGAAAGTGGTAAGTGCACCATTAAATGCTCATATTTGTTGAATTTAATTCATTCATTAAAAAAACAAATATATAAATAAGAGATTTTTTTTTAATTTTTAACACAAGATATTAACAGCGCCAGTTATATCTTTCTTGCAGATTGGACAAGTCTTTATTTGTCCAACTCTTTCCTTCAAACAGACCTCACAAACACAGAGATGACCACACGGCATCATCGCAGCAACAGCTGGTCTTCTCTTACAATACAAACAGAACGATTCTCTCATATCTGCTTGAGTATTTAATGGCTGACCTTCCTGGTTCAATACTTTACCAGCAATGTATTCATCCTTTGCGTCTTTCACATCTTTCTCATCTCTCTCTGCAACCAAAGCCTTCATGAACTTAGAGAATGTCAATCTAACACCTTGCATTGGTGTCAAACCTTTATCATTCATCAGTTTAACATCAGCACCAGAAACAATCAATGCTTGAACGCATTTCTTGTCCATCTTCAATGCTGCCAAATGAAGAGGAGTATTCTTTTCGAGATCAACAACATTCACTGGTGCTCCTGCTTCCAATAACTCGTTTATCATTACATGAGATGCATTGTTTGATGCAACATGAAGAGGAGTTTGTCCTTTGTTATCAGCAATATCAACTTTCGCTTTGTCTTCTATCAGTTTCACAACAAATTCGTTCTTATTCAATTCAACAGCAACGTGCAAAGGAGTCTTTCCTTCCTCATCTTTCGCGTTCAAATCAGCTCCTGCTTTCTGCAATTTCTCAAAAATAGACATGTGGTCACCAATAATGGCCAGGTGAAGTGGTCTTTTTCCATGTTCATCTCCTATATCCAAATCAGCTTTGTTCTCAATGAAAACACCAACCAAATCTTCATCACCGCATTCTGTTGAGAGAACAATTGGTGTCTCTTGTTTGTCGTTTTGGATGTTGATATTTGCATTCGCGGCCAACAACAATCCGCCCATTTCTAAAGCGTGTCTTGTTGCAACTAAATGCAAAGGCGATGTTCCATCACTCGATTGGACATTTGTTGATGCTCCTGCAGCTAAGAGAATCTTAATTGCTTCGACATTGTTGTTAATAATTGCGACATGAAGAGGAGTTTCGCCGTTGTTGTCTTTCATGTTGACTTCACAGGACTTCTCTGTAAGGAAAGTAACAATATCGTTGTATCCTTTCTCAACGGCCATGTGTAAAGCTGTTTTTCCGTCTTTTCCTTTTGAATTTATGTCAACTGAAGATTCAAGAAGCAAAGAAACAATTTCTGGCTGATGGTAGACAACTGCGTAGTGCAAGGAACAGTTTCCTTCCTTATCTGTAGCGTTTAAATCGGCTAATGCTTTTTGAAGTGCTTGAACCATTGGAACTGAACCACTCTGGCATGCGAAATGGATTGGTCTGATACCTTTGTCGTTCTCCGAGTCAATTGGAGCTCCTTGGGCTGCACAGATAGGTATAATTGTCGATTGTCCACCTAATGCAGCGAGATGGACAATTGTTGAGCCATCTTTAGTATGAGCACTTGATGAAGCACCTGCTTTAAGTAGTAATTCGAGCGATTTCTCTAAACCAAGCTTGGCAGCAATTAAGGCTGGAGTCATTCCTTCTTCATCTGCTGCATTCCAGTCGATAGAGTACTTCTTGTTCGATAGGAATTTGACCATCTCTGGCATTTGGTATGGAATGATAAGATGAGCGACTGTTTCGCCTTTATTATTTGGTTCGTTAAATGGGGGATTGTATTTAGCGAACACTTGCAAGATGCCAGGGACTTGGTTGGCTAAGGCTAGTGACAATGGTGTATTTCCATCTTGATCTTTAGCATTAACATCAGCTTTAACTTTACATAACGTCTCGATGATTTTCTTGTTGCCAGAAAGTGCAGCAATATGTAAGGTTGTCCTTCCTTGTTCGTAAACTGTGTCAATTGGATAACCGGACTTGATTAAAACTGGAATTGCAAAATCTGCTCCTGCTTGGATAGCTACTTTCATAGCATCAAGGCCAGATGGTGATTTATATTTAACATCGGCTTTGCTTTTGATCAATACGCCAAAAATATCTTTAGAAGGCTTTTCTATTGATCTCATTAAAGGGGTGTATCCTTCGCCATCGACTTCGTTGATATCACCACCTTCCTTGATAGCCGCATTAACTTGCTCGGCTGTACCGTTCATAACCGCATCTAATATAGGCATTCTGAGATTTTAACGAAAAAAAATATTTGAATAAAAATTAGAAATAAATTTTAAAAGTGACAGAATTTCATTTCTACTGTTTTCCTTTAAATAAATATTTGCGCATTAATTATTTAATATTTTCTGTTTCAATAAGCATTCAAAATATGTCACCTTTTCCAAGGATAATTTTTTTCTTGCTCAATGAAGTGAAATTTCATTCAATACATTTTTCCAAAAGGTTATTTTGTTCAATCCATGTATGTAAAACGATTGTATGAAAAATCATCTGAAGAACCCCATTATGTTACTGAACGACCAAAAAATGTTTTTATTCAACTTCGTCTTTTCCACACTTATCAGGTACATTGGCCCAAGAAAGCCAATCATATAACAATTTGAAAAAAAAAAAAAAAAAAAAAAAAAAGGTAGTGGGGCTTCCAGGGGCTGCGCCCCTTCTAGCCCTAAGAATTTTGCCCAAGACCCAAGAGGAGGACCGAACCCCAGCCGACCAGCCGTTGACTTTTTTGTCAAGACTTCTTCGTATATGTTTTGTCATGACTTCTTCATCGTATATGATTTGTCAAACATGAACGTAAATGTTTTGTCATGATTTCATCGTAATGAGCGTAAATCCGACAAAAATATATTTTAGGTGAAGTGGTGAGATCTAACCTCATTTCTAACCTGTTTTCTAACCTCTTGAATTTTCATGATTTCTTCGTAAATGTTTTGTCGAAACTTCTTCATCGTAAATGTTTTGTCAAGACTTCTTCGTAAATGTTTTGTCATGATTTCATCGTAATGAGCGTAAATGACCAAAAAATAATGTTTAGGGTAGAAGGTTAGATCTAACCTCTTTTCTAACCCGATTTCTACCCTCTTGAATTTTCATGAATTTCATCGTAAATGTTTTGTCAAGACTTCTTCGTAAATGTTTTGTCAAGACTTCTTCGTAAATGTTTTGTCAAGACTTCTTCGTACATGTTTTGTCAAGACTTCTTCGTAAATGTTTTGTCATGATTTCATCGTAATGAGCGTAAATGACCAAAAAATAATGTTTAGGGTAGAAGGTTAGATCTAACCTCTTTTCTAACCTCATTTCTACCCTCTTGAATTTTCATGAATTTCATCGTACACTTTGACCGAGTAGTTTTTTGTGCTGAACAAAAAGTGTCATATAAACATCTGTCAAAAACCGCTTTTTAACTTCACTTAAAATGCCACGTAAGCTACGTAAGAATATACGTAAGAGGAAGGGAGCATTGAAACATCCAATAGTAAAACTAACACCACAACAACAGTTGCAACAACAAATGATGAATGACCCCACTATGTTGCAACAAATGTCAAGCAACCCTATGCTTTTAAACCGAGTTATTGGTGCACAGAGTGGAGGTTTAAGAGCGGCACTTTTAGCGAAAATGGCAGGCTATGGTGGAGCTGCAGACGGAACAGCTTATAACCCTCAAAGTCAAATGAATTTGAGTTCACTCAAAAATCAAATAACAGATGTCAAAAAGTCAAACATAGACATACAGAAACAAATAAGTGAAAACGAAAAGAAACTAGAATATGACAGACACACAAAGAAACTCAATGAGTTAAACGTAGAAAAAGAAGAAAGAAGAACAACTGAAAGAACTAAGTACAGAGGAATATGCGAAAAAAGTGTCAGAAAAAGCAGCAGAAGTAGCAAAAATGGAACAAGATGTTATAAATTTGAAAAAACCATACTACTCAATATAAAGTACTGAAAGATGAAGAAATAAAACAAAAAGCCCTGAAGACATATATGGATAGCGATGAGTATAAAAAAGAAGTTGAAGCAAATGTAAAGGCAGAAAAACTTTTACAGTTGCAAAACCAAACCGTACAGTATGAAAACTTAGCACAAGAAAGTAAAAATAACGACGCAGCCATGCAAAAGGCAATGAAAAGCGCAGATATTATAAAAGCTAATAATGACTGGTTAGATGCCCAAGCCAACGCTAAAGCAGCCCAACTTATAGGGTCAATAAGGACAAAAATACAAGCGGATGAAGACAGTTCAAATGAAGCTTTAATGAATGCTGACTTTAAGAACGCATTCGAAGCTCTTCATAGTAAGGTGAAACTAGTGAACGACTTCTCATCTGGAAAGAAACTGAAGTCTGAAGGTTTCGACAAAGAGTTAAAAGAAGTAGCACAAAATATGACGAAAATAACAGATGCAGCAACGAGACAGGCAGTTCAAAGTGCCTATGACGCCGTTAGAGCAACTGTTGTGGAAAGTCAAGAAAAAGAGTTACAACAGACCAAAACAGACCTAGTAAATGCTTTCTTAAAAACGAAAAGTCAGGTAGGACATTATGCTGCAGATGGAACATATGTGCCAGCTGGTGGAACTTATATACCACCAAACCCTCCAAGAGAAGCACCTGCACCAGGACTACCTAAAACATTTACATCGTCACATGGACACAGACACAGGCATGCACCACAACAACAACCAACACAACAACCAACAGTTCAAAATCCAGCACCACAACAACAACCAACACAACAACCAACAGTTCAAAATCCAGCACCACAACAACAACCAACACAACAACCAACAGTTCAAAATCCAGCACAGCAACCAACAGTTCAAAATCCAGCACAGCAACCAACACAACAACAACCACAAACAGAGCAAGGACATAAAAGAAGTAGAGAACAAGGAAACCAAGAATTCTTAAAAATGCTTAAGGAAGATTATGGTTACCCAGATACTCTTGACTTTAGTGACAGATATAAAGAAGCTATTAGAAAGTTCAAGGAAGGAAATAATGACCCGAACCTATTTAGCTTTATGGTTCAGCACCAAATGGGATATAATTTCAAACCTGGAAAATACAAGCTCGCTAAGGAATATGATTTAATAGCATATCATCCAAATGACATGAATGAATTTACTCCGAGATATTTGATGTCAGAGCTAAATGATAATTCAACTCTCTTCATGAAACGCGTAAAAAATAGAGACGGAACGAAAGAAGAAAGGTTTATGAGTCCGAATGACTTAGATAGGGAACTTTTTAAAAACGGTCTCGGAATATATGAAATGCCAGCAGATGAGGTACAAGAAACTCAACAGGAAGAAGTTCAGATACAACCAGACATGGAAGAAATAGTTCAGCAACAACAGCTAGAAGAGCCTGAAGGAAACGAACAAGTCCCTCCTTTGGAAACCAACGTCACAGAACTAGATGAAGATTTGGAACAGCCGAAAAATCTTGACCCTCAACAAGAGTATAATGAGAATATGGAATCTTTCCAAGAGTCTAAGAAAAATTCGGCTGACATAGTAGAAGAATATCGAAAAATTTTCACCGACATACAAAAGACTCCAACACCAGATGAAAATATTCAGCATAGAATGGAAGTACTGAAAGAAAATGTACGCAAATACAACAACCCTTTTTACTTACGAGCATATAACGTTCAATCTTTGGCTGAACTCGGTGAAAATAAAAGGTTAAATTTCAACAAAACATATAGAAATGAAACATTGTTTAAAGTTCATTCAGAACCTAACCAAGATGGAAACAAACCTACTTTTGTTTCTGCAGACTATGGAACTACAATGAGATGGGGTCATAAAGCTAATTCGGATAGGTGGTTCATAAACTTACAACCTCAATTCCAAGAAGTTGTAGACGCAATGGAAGTGAATGGTGAACCAGATATAGCAGGTATTTTCAGCGCGGCTTTAATGCCATTGAAAGATATGAAAAATGCAGATATTTTGGACCAGTATGAAATGAACATGGCTGAGGGAAATATAACACCTGACGTTCTAGAACATTTATCTCAAAGAACTACACAGAACCATAGAGATGGTATATTTGGTGAAGAGTTTAGAAAGAAAGTTAGGGAGAGAGAAGGAAGAGAACCTATTGTACATGACCTTGCAAACGAAAGTTTGCAAAATATCATAAAAACTTACTTTGCAGACAATGAAATGAGAAGGGATGAATATTTAAGAAAACTCAAATGGACAGTACCAAATGAAATGTTAGTATTGAAAAACATGTTCCATGACAAAATAAAACCAACTACAGAAATAAATGACGCAAGACTGAAACGTTGGGTAAAAGCTTTCCCATTCACAAAAGATATTATTGGTTACATGGAAAGAAAACCAGAATGGCTACAAAAACATATATTTGGAAACGAGCTTATTCCATATGGACAAGCTCTGTTTGAAGAGCTTGAACCTGAAACTCAGGAAAGAGTCATGCAAACAATAAAGGAAGACTCAAATACAAACTATGACAAAATCTTTCTAGGATATAGGTTACCTGAGATGGGCGACCAGAGCCCAAAGGCAAAAAGGACATGGGAAATTTACAAAATACTAGGTGAACATGAGACAAAGATGCAACAACTTGAAGCAGAGGGCAAGTTACCAAAAGCGACACCAAAGAAGAAGAGTAGAACAAAGTGAAAGTAGTGAAGAAGTAACTTCATCTAGTGAAAGTAGTGGCAATGAAGGAAAAAGAAGAGTTAAAAACTCAGTCAGGAAGAAAGTAAAGCTTGGTACGAGTGGGTTCTATTATGACACATAAATCCAACTATTCTATATTTTTACCCATATGAAATGTACGCCGCTCAGAATATTACGCCAACAGTTTTGGATGCCATGAACGGAAATGTTTCTGAATGGTATAACGAATGCGACAATGCCATTAGAAGGTCAGAAATAGTTCCTGGAACTTACGAATATACAACTGCTATTTCTTATGGAAACGTAGGTGAGTTTGGAGAAGGTTCTTCAACAACAGTAGATATTGCTTGCGACAGGTTTCATATTATTTCTATTGACAACTCTTTCTTATACGTGGAACAAGACATTGAAATAAAACCTTCTGCCAAGTTGTCTGACAAGAAAGGTTGCAATGGAATTTTCTATGTCGGATACCAATATGCTCCAGAAGTTTTTATGGGATATAAGATATATTCTAACTCTGACTTAGTTCAAACAGTAACATGGGCAAACTATGAATGGTTCGCTTTGAGAAACTCAGTACAACCACAAGCTAGAGAACAAACAGACCAGTATGCAACTATTGAGAAAATAAGAAGACTTGACCCTAACGTTCCAGGAGTTTATGTTAACCTTTCTGGACAAACTGCAGCAGCAGTAACCAAAGTAAAACTGAAACTAAGAGTTCCTTTGTCATCTTTCCTCATCTTTAGGTTCTTAAGATACTTACCAAACTGGGCAGGAAAAATTTCTATTGAACTTACTCCAAGCAAAAATAACTTAGTCATTGCACCAACACAAGACCCATTCACTATTATAGACGTAAAGGGAACAAATCAAACGTCATTCGCCGACTTTTGCAAAGACAAAGTTGACTTAGACTTTGGTTTCTCAAACCTCAACACTGAAGTAAACTATTATTTCAATGCTGCTGGAACTGCTTGGGACCCAGTTAAGTTCACATGCGAAAAATTTGAATGCAAGAGAATAGAAAGCAGACTTGCAGTCTATATGTTGGACCCAGATATTTCAAATGCTTTAGCTGCCAAATATATTGCAGTTCCACTTATGTTCCCTATACACCAAATATCTGTCAAAGACTTTGCAGGTGAAGTTGGAAACCAAAGTGCTGACCCAGGTGCAAGAACAGATATTGCTTTAACAACTGCAATGAAACATGCAGATACTATGTTTGTACTGTTCAGACGAACTATAAATGACTATTCTTGTTTCTACAACCCCGGTATTAAATATCATATAAACATAGATGGCAAATATTATCCAAGAGAAGAATATTCTACAGTTGAGGATATGAGGTCATACAACTTGACATTAGATGCTATGAACTTTAACAACAACTTCACAACAACCATTAACCCTGAAATGCAAAGTTCTATTATGCCATATGTGAAAGTATGGACTCATACAGGAAGTCAAAAAACTCAATATACAAATGGAGACCGTTCAAACTTTTGGCTTGGCATTCCATTTGCTGACTCAGAAGACTTTATGGGTGGTATTTCAACTGTTGGTACAGTTCAAATACAATATACTGGTGACAGAGACGGTCCAGATGAATTGAGAGCAAAGAAGTTTACAAAACCAATAGCACTTTTCACGGAAGATGCTCTTTTGAAGATTCGTTCGATGAAACCTGCTGGGGCTCCTCAGATTGGCATAACGACAGCTTCCATCGAGCAGATTTTGGCAGCAGGTCAGTAAGTTGTTCTTGAACTGACTTCTCTCCGTCAAATATTGACAGTACGCCAGTTTTGACATAATATTGTATTATAAACTTTCCTTTAGTAATATCGGTCAGTTTTGAAGTTATATTTTTGTCAACGTCAAGAACTTTCACCATCTCGGTTATACCAACTTTCTTTGCTTTATGAAAATATTTAGGTTCAGCAAATATTGCTATTCTATAACATTTACCATCGTTTGTATAAAGAACTATTCTGTCAATGTATTTGTATTGTTTGTGTGTGTAAACTTTGTTTTGCTTCAATTCGAAGAGATATCCGAATACGTCCATCTTTTTATTCTAAGTAAAATGTCATTTCCGAAAAATAAAAGCGTAAGTGTTTCAAAAGGTTTAATGGCGGTGGCAGATGTGAAGTTAAATTCACCAACTCAAACAAACAGTCAAAGTGTTGTTGTCAATGTCAAAGACAGAAATGTTGAAGTGGGGAAACCATACGAAGACGAAGATGGTATAACAATAGTTCCTGTAAAAGAACAACCAACATATCCTGAAGTTAGCAGAGACTTAAGTTCTGTTGCAGATATTCGAAACGACTACATGCAACTTAAAGACAAACTTAAAACTCAGGAGAAGATTTGTCAAGCTTTAGGTATAATGTTAAACTTGGTCGAACACAACCCTGTAAAAGTGAACTCATATGTCATTGCACCTCATGAAGTTTTGAAAGAACTATTGAAACTTTTGACAGAGGCAGACGATATAAACATCAAAGAAATAGAACCCGACATTAGTTGCTGTGGTGTTTCATATAATGCCATTGACAAGATATACGTTATGAAAGGAGGTGAAACGTTGAACTTAAAATATAGTTTCCCAGACGTTATAAAAATATTTGACGACCACAACATTTCATTAAAATTTATTTGCTAAGTAAAAATGTCAAAACTTCTTGAAAGATGTTTGAAGAAAAATAATATAGACTTTATTTCATGTAAAGGACTTTACACACTTTTGAACGATATGAAAGACCCTGTTTTGTTTGTTCGTGTAGACAAAGGAAAGTTCTATGTCTTTACAAAATATTTGAACTTCTTAGACAGAGAACTTCAAGAAACGCCATGTGAAAGTTTAGATGAAGTTCTTCTCCACTTTCAGAAAAACTTTTAAATATATAAAAATGGCAGAAGACATAGTGGTTTATACTATTACGACTAAAAACCCTGAGTCATATAATTCTATAACAACTAACTTACAAAGTCCTCAAGGACGATATTGTAAACTAACCTTAAATACAATGACGACTAAAGCCTGTTTTGCTCTTTTGACACCAGAAGATTTTATTGTTGTGAATGGTAAAAAATACTCCTTTGAAGATACTTACTCAGATATACCACCAACAGGTTTTGTTGACTTATTTAATACTTTAAGGACGGATGTAACATGTGCTGCAACTAGAGCAGGTTTCATTATGTTTGGATGTCCGACTGAGTTTACTATTAATGATATGAGCTATAATACAAAACTTATATCTGGTTTTTACTACCAACAGTTTCCTATAACAGGAAAAGGTGTCATACAAGGAATGTCTATTCCATTGACATTAAGCACACCAATCTTATATATTGTTTCAAACTTAGGTTCAAAGTGTTATTCGAATGTCGACAGAAACTATTATGACCAAAAGATACTTATGCGTATAAACAATACTTTCTCTGCTGGTTTGCCTATTGTTCATTCGAATGCAGAATTTTCAACCTTAGTGAACTCAAACACTTTGGCAAGTATAACGTTGACATTAGTTGACGCAAACTTTGTTCCTGTAAAACTTTTATGTCCTATGTATTTGTCAATGACGGCAGAAAGTTTCGAATTGGAAGATGCAACTGGTGAAAGTATTGTATTACAAGAACAACTTCAACAACAAATAGCTCAAGAACAACAAATGCAACAAATGGAACAACAAAGTCAAGAATAAAAAAATATTTTTTTTTATTTTTATAAAAATGTACAGAATAGATGTTTCAGATTTTTATGACTTCCAAGCATTCAGAAATATGTGTCCATTTAGAGACTATAACAAAGCAGTCGAGAATTTGAAACGTTTAGTCATTTATGTTGACTCTGCCCCAGAATGTTATGTCATGAAAGAATGGGATGTTGTCTTTAACAAACCTAAAGCGACAATTGTGTCTGAACAAGAATGTAGACAGAAACTTAAGAAAATAAAAGTCGTACAAGTTGGCATGAAGATGTTAGATGCTTGGGATATCTTATTGTCAAAACTTGAAGATTTTTCAGTTCGTGGTATAAAGTTTTATACACCTTCTCCAAACTTCTATTCTATCTTCACTGGATATAAATATGAACAAGTAGAATGGAAAGAAAATATTATAGAAGCTTGGTTAGACCATGTCAAAGAAATTATATGCAATGGAAACGAAAAGGTTTATGAGTATATCTTATGTTGGTTTGCAAACATCTTACAACATCCAAGTGCTAAGAATGAAACTGCTCTCATTATAATTGGAAAACAAGGAACAGGTAAGAATACATTCTTTACAGATATCTTATGCAAACTGTTAGAAGGTTATTCGAACCCTAATATGACAAACTTAGAAAACATCTGCGGTAAATTTAACTCCTCAATAGAGAATATGAAACTTATAGTTTGCAATGAACTTCAAAGTATAGATACAACAAAAGTTTTGAACTCAGATGCTTTGAAGAGTCTTATAACAGACAAAGTTGGAGTTGTTGAAAGAAAGTATAAAGACCAAAGAGTTTGTGAAAATGTTGCAAACTTCATTATGGTTTCAAACAATGTTGTTCCGATGAAGTTAGAAAGTTCTGACAGAAGATATGTAGTTGTCAGAACATCAGATTCTCATATGCAAGATACTGAATATTTTGACGACTTAGCAGAATGTTTGACATCTGACTTTTACAACCACTTGTTCTCATATTTCATGACATTAGATATTTCTAAGTTCAATCCAAGACAAATTCCACATACCGAAGAGAGACAAACATTGTTAGAAGCAAACAAGAGTGTATATGAACTGTTCATAGATGAAACTGACTTTGTGTCATTAGATGAAAGGTCATTGTACGATTCGTATAAACAATATTGTCAAGAATATGGTTATATGGCAGCTTCTAAACGAACATTCTTGGCAAATGTCAAAAGTCTTTTAGATGTTCAGAATGATGTATATACAAAGAAAAATTTTTCTGAGTAAATTTTAAAAAAATATTTTTTTATCCGATAGAAAAGATGACGAAATTCATCTCAGTAAATAAGTACATGACAGAAGTCAAAGATAAGTTAGCTCCATTCACATATTTGAATGTTTACTTCTACAATTTTGAAAAGTCTTCATTCAGCAAAGTTTGGAACATCGAACCAGTTAAGTTTGCAGTCGTCAGAAAAAGTGGTGCAACATTTGAAGACTTAGAGATAGAAGGTTTGTTAACAGTCAAAGAAAATTTTGACAGAAAGTTCTCAAACCTTAAAGAAGGCAAAGCATACAAACTTGTTATACCTTATGAACCAAAGAAGACAGACGACTATGAATATTATGAGTCTAAAGTTGTAGAAGTTCAAGGTAAATTGGGTAAAAAGATTTTAGAGTCTAAGCCAGTGTTTGCTCCTAAAGAGGAAGAGAACATTGACATTGACCCAGAAATGTTCTAAAAATAAAATTTTATTTTTACATGTCAAATTTCTTTTTCTCTGGAACTGGTTCAGGTTCTTTCTTCTCTTCTACTTTTTTCTCTTTCTTTCCTTTCTTCTTCTTTTCTGGTGGAGTTATGTCAAATTTCTCCGAACCATATTTCTGTAAAAGTTCTTTGTCCTTTAATAGCTCTTCTATTCTGTTTTCTATTTCATCTTCAAGAACAGCGCATGTGTCTTCTTTGCATTCTAAGAATTTTTGTTGGACTTCATCTCTCCAAGAGGCGTCATCTCTGTCAACAAGTCTGTCATTGACAAACTTAAAGACTGCTCTGCCTAATGTTTTATGGTTCTTGTCATATTCCCAGAAACAGAACTTTAGAACAAATTCACCTTTCTTGTTTACACTATGTAAGATTTTATGGTCGACAGATGTTTTGCTGTCAAAAAGTTTGTCTCGAATATAGATAGCGAAATCGCTAGACATTTTCTAAAAGATAAAAATTTTAATTTTTCTAAAAATATGTTAGAAAAAAAGTTTGCTGACATTGACAAAAAATTTGAGAATGTTTTAAACAAGAACAAGAGGAAGTTAGAAAATGCTCAGATAAAGCCTATACATGACAAGTTCTTATTTGCTCAGAATGGTATAACAGGTCTAATTGCACCACCTGGGTCTGGTAAGACTTTCACTTATCTTAAAATGGCTGCACAGCAACAAGAACTAGATGAGAAGAACCCATTCTATGAGTTAGTTGTTATTTGTTCGACTTCTGGTCAATTTGACCAAACCGTCAATTCGTTCAAAGATATTATAAAGAAGTCTAAGTTAGTATGTATAAAGGATACTGAGTTGTTAGATTGGATAAAGAAGTACCAAAGAAGAGTTTTGAAATATAATGCTATAAATGAGTATATAAATTCTAAGTTCAAAGACCCAAATGAGGAAATGCAGAGAATATTAGAGAAGAACACTTCAGAAACAAACAGAAAGAGATAGAATACATTTCGAAGAAATTGCAATCTTACGATTGGAAGACATACCCCCATAGGTGTCTTCTTATCTTAGATGACTTTGCTTCTCATCCTTTGTTAAAGAATAGAGAACAAGATATGTGTCGAATTCTTAAGAAGCTCAGACACTTTAACATCTCTGTTGTCATTTGTGTACAGACAGCAAAGAGTTTAAGTAAGGATGTAAAGAGAATACTTACTGACATTATACTTTTCCCAGGATTGGCACAAGACGATTTCATGGAACTTATGAAAGAGTCCATGGCAGGTAAGTTTGACAGACATGAACTATGGGAGAAGTACAAAGTCATACAAGACCCTCATACTTCTTTCAGAATTCATATCTACGCAAACAAAGTTCAAATTGTAAAAGGTCAAGCTTGAAAATAAAGATTGAAATTTACTCTTCCTCTTTGAAGTTGTCAAAATACTCTGTTATTTTTTCCTTTAACAATGGCAAATCTTCTTTGAATGTAAGTATTGTACAACCTTTAATATCATAGTGTGTTTGAGGTAAATTATCTTGAACTATTTGTTTAACTTGTTCATTCGGTGTCATTGAAATCGGTAAGTTTTCGCGATAGAACCAATTTCTGTCAGATTTGTAAATCTTAGCAAGGTCGTAAAAGCTTTTGTTGTTTCTTCTGACTAAATGCAACATAACCATATCTCTGTCTTCTTCATTTTCCATCTCTTCAGTATAAATCATATACTTATAGTTCTTTTCCTTTCCTTTTGGTACCGAACGTGGTATTCTTTTCTGAATGCTTTTGTCTTTTGCTTCAAGCTTGTTCTCTAGCTCTTCACGTTCTTGTCTATGAATTTCGTCAAGAAGTCTGTAAATATACCAAGCATAACGAGGCGAAGCCCACATTGCAACAGCATTTACAAGAAGTCTATGTACATAATATCCTCTCAAACCGTTTGGCAATTTTTCACGATTTTCATAGAGTTTTGGCGACTGGGGTTTTTTCCCTACTCGCTGTTCTTCACTGTTTTCAGAAAAAAGTATGTCTCGCTGTGCTTCGCTCAAAAGTTCTTGTGTGCTTTGGTTCCTAAACCAGTCTTTAGGAAGCTTAGTATCTGGAGCATAACATGCTGTCAAAATACTTTGCATTTGGTACATATCGTCTTTGACCGAACGAATGAGACGTAACTGTTTGTTAAACCGAACCCACTCGTATTCTTCATTTATAGCTTCATGGACTATAACTGTTGTTGTGTTCTCTGTTGTTGACATATCTGTCTTTACATACAAAATAAAAAAATTTGTTAGAAAAAAATTAGCGTTATTTTCTGACTTTCACAAAAGACCAAAAATAAACGCTTTACATGTATTTTTCAGCAACTTCGTCAAATAATTTTATAGCTTTATCTATCTCATCTACTTCAAACGTTTCTTTACCTTTTATGGGAGCACCATACATTTTCTCAAACTTTTCAAGTAGTTCTGTTTCTGCAGCTCTCATATCATTAACAAACACAACCTTGACTCTATTGACTGTACTGTCATATCTTTGAGTTATATTATATGTTCTTCCTATCTTATATCTCTTTGTATTGAAGTCCTTCGGTTTCTGAACGATGTAAAGTAAGCCTTCACTGCAACGTTCCGTATCGAATGAACCATATGTTATGAAGTTATATCCAACAACTGGGTCTAACCATAACAAAACTATTGGTATAAGACTTTTGTCGATGAGATATGCTGTAGTTCCATAGAATCTTACCGATATCATAAGCTCAGGATTTCTTGTCAAAATTTTCTGAGTAGAAGCAATTCTAACCCAGTCCTTTGTTTTCTTTCCAGATGGTGTTATAATGTCTGACAAAGAATATTTGTTGTATTTCTTTGAGTATCTTACGTTTAAATCACCTATTCTAACCACTTTGGTGTCATTGTCTATCTTTCTAACTGTTTCAAACTCAATGTTTGACATATCTGTCTTTACATACAAAATAAAAAAATAAATAAAAATAAAACTAACTTTATTTTTTCTATCTTAAGGAAATTCATGATTTTCATACGGAATCCCTTCTCTCGGTTTTCCGAGGGAAGCAACCATATGTCATTTTACTCAGAATTTTGTTGCTGAATTCAATAAAAATATATTTTAGGTGAAGAGGTGAGATCTCACCCGTTTTCTCACCCGTTTTCTCACCTCATGAATTTTCATGATTTCATCGTACATGTTTTGTCAAGACTTCATCGTACATGAATTTTCATGATTTCATCGTACATGTTTTGTCAAGACTTCTTCGTAATGAGCGTAAATCAGACAAAAATAATGTTTAGGTGAAGAGGTGAGATGTCACCCGTTTTCTCACCTCTTTTTTCACCTCAGTTATTTTATAAGCGTTTTACATGAATTGTACGATGTATATTTGAAATCTTAAACAGTTTCGTTGCTTCTATTTCTTCTTTTAGTATGTCAAAAGTTTTAACAATGCCGAAGGTTTCTTTATACTTCTTCTTGACGTCAGATAGAAGGAAATCTTCTGCAGTTGGATAGTTTTTGTTCAGAAATTCTAACATGTCCATTTTATTTTCTGCTGGCTTTTCTGCTTCTTTCTTTAAATCTGCATAGTCGTTTCTCATTCTTTCTATCTCTTTGACGGAGTAGTTATATTTCCTAATTGCTGCTTTACATTTAGAACATTGCGGGTTCATTTTTGCGTTATATTCTGAAACCTTACCTGCTAAAACAACTAAGGCGTCAATGGTTTTCTTCATCTCAAACATAGCGGGTCTTATCTGTTCATTCCATACCTTACCTCTTCTGTCTTTATCTCTTATCTGCCATACACATTTTGCAGCTAATGAAACAAAGTTGTCGTATGTCTTAAATTCTTCAGATTTGTAAAGGTCAGAAATATTTTTATAAACCATGTCGCAATCTTTGTCCATAACCTTATGGTTGCAATGAAAACCAAGGAATTCATAATTTACCTTTCGTATGAACTTCTTTATTTCTACTGAGTCAGTTGGTTTCACTTCAATTTCGTCAAATTCGGGAATGGTTAGTTTTTGTTGCTGAATTTCAGGTAGTTTAGGCAAATGGTCAATAATGTCCTGCATTTCATAAAGATACTGTTCATTTTCTTCATCTTTCGCACTACAGTCTAAATCTCCTTGGAGAAGTTCTTGCTTTATCTTCTGGATTTCTGTTTCGAAAGTATATGAAGAAGGAATGAAGCTTTTCATTTCTACTAACATTGAAGTTGGGTTCATGACTAGCGAGTTTGGTGCTGTTGTTGCTAACATGTTCTTACAATAAAAATAAAAAATATTTTTTAAAAAAAACTAACTTTATTTTTTATTTCGGGAAAATTCATGAAAATTCAACGGGTGAGAAAAGAGGTGAGAAAACAGGTGAGATCTCACCTCTTCACCTAAAATATATTTTTGCCGAATTCTGTATAAAATTCATGAAAATTCAACGGGTGAAAAAGAGGTGAAAAAACAGGTGAGAAAACGGGTGAGATCTCACCTCTTCACCTAAAATATATTTTTGCTGAAAAATGACCAAATTTCATGAAAATTCAACGGGTGAGAAAAGAGGTGAGAAAACAGGTGAGATCTCACCTCTTCACCTAAAATATATTTTTGCTGAAAAAATGGTTCATTTACTCACAATATTTTTGTACAAAACGACCCCAAACTTTTAACTTCTTTTCTGCAGCTTCTAATGCTATCTTAGCGAGTTCATATTCTCTAAATTCTCTCTTTAAATCTTCTTGTTCCCATTGGTCTAGTTCGTATGGAGAATCTCTATAACCAGAACATATCTCACGTTCATGTTCTATTTGTTTAAGCACATTTTTTCTAACTTCTTGTTCGAACAAAGGTTTTGCATTCTCTACTGTATCTTCAAGTTCTTCTTCATCTAATTTCTCATGAACTTTCTTGTCTATGGAGTCCAGAATTTTTCCAACTGCTATACAATATTTTGGAGAAGCCCACATTGCTATATAGTTTACGAGTCTTGGGTCTACATACATTCCTCTAACCTGTTTGATTTCATCAGGAATTCCTGCATGAATTTTGTATAAAAAGCAACCCGCTGTTTTCCGCGGGTTGGTATATTCTTCACAAAATGCCTTAAAATACTCTTCCCAGGACTTATTTTCCAACAACCTTCTAAAGTCTTTCCTAAACTGCTGACACATCTTTGTTGCATTTATATAACCATCCTTGTCTCTACGTAAGACTTCAATACCGTTGTAAGTGCCTTTTGTGAATGTTTCGCCATTAGATTTGTTCGTGAACGTTTTTGCTTCGACTGACATTTCTGTTCTTACAATAAAAATAAAAAATATTTTTTTTAAAAAAACTAACTTTTTTTCTGTCTTAAGGAAATTCAAGAGGGTGAAAAAACAGGTGAGAAAACGGGTGAGATCTCACCTCTTCACCTAAAATATATTTTTACTGAATTTAGCAACAACTTTCTCTCAATTGGAGCTGTGGCATACTCTTTGCGTAAGCGGTTCAGACCTTCTTCGAACTCTTGGTCTCTCTTCGATTTGGATTGAGGTGGAAATTGGTAGTAATTTGGTGGAGGGACTTGCTGGAACTGAGGTGCAGGGGCTGGTGCTTTAGGTTCCTCTGGTTTGGGAATGGGCTCGGTTGGTGGGACGTCGGACATTCGTTTGTGGCTTAACCGTCGGACCACAAACGATAAAAATCTCTGCTACTAGCAGTACTTCTACTGACAGTAGCAGTACCTTTACTGACAGTAGCAGTACTTTTTCTGACAGTAGCAGTACTTTTTCTGACAGTAGCAGTACTTTTTCTGACAGTAGCAGTACTTTTACTGACAGTAGCAGTACTTTTACTGACAGTAGCAGTACTTTATCGTCGAAAACCCTCTCAAATTTTCCTTTTTACTGCAACTAGCAGTACTTTTACTGACAGTAGCAGTACTTTTTCTGACAGTAGCAGTACTTTTTCTGACAGTAGCAATGGACAACATCGAGCCATTAGATGAGGCAGTTTACCTAATTGAAATTAACGAGCTTGTTAAAGACTACTTGCGCAAGGTCATGAAGCCCAAGGTCAAGTTCACCACTATTTCTGGAAGGGCTGCCTTGAATCTCGAGACTTCGACTGGAATTCCAATTGAGGTACCAGACGGGACAGCCTACGACGACATAAAGGACGCCAAAAGAGAAGCTCTTGTTAAGTTCCTAAACAAACGTCCTTGGATACAACTTCCAAACAGAGAGAGTCCAATTCCACGAATTATACAAATTCTCAGAGCACTGTTCCACTTCTCGGGTCAGCCGTTCTACATAACCTCAGAAGGCGACATCCAACCAGTTCAGTAAACATCTCATTTTAACTCACTTTTTTATGTTTTTTGTGAAAGTGTCAAAAATAAATTGTTTTCATGAAAATTCAACGGGTGAGAAAAGAGGTGAGAAAACAGGTGAGAAAACGGGTGAGATCTCACCTCTTCACCTAAAATATATTTTTCAATACTTTTTCAGCACTTTTCCGTAGTTGTATATGAAAGACAATTCGAGATAAAAGTCATAGTACAATGGTATAATATGCTGCACACCGTTTGTTGTGAACCAAACTTGAAAGTCAGAGAAACTGTTACTAGGTGGTTCGTAGAATTTAGAAGCAAAGTCATAAAAGTCCTTACCAATACAAAGAAAACTGTTGTTGCTTGAACTGAAACTTGCATGACACATGACATTTTGAGGGTCAAACACGTTTCTATAAACTGTCAAATCTGCTGGTGGAAGTATAAATTTAAATGGACCATCTGGTGGTAATGGTTCGTTCTGGTTTAGTAACCGAAGAAATTGTGCCCAAGAACGTTTGTCTACTCCCCAAAATAAAAACTCTGTATCTCTTGGAGGGTTAATTTCAATCTTTTGAAATGAAACGGTGGAGTTCATCTTGTCATATTCTAGTTTCAGATAGTATGTTCCATTTTGTAAAGAGTCGTATTTTTCTTGAAATTCCCAATAATATTTGTTTATTTGAGTTTGAAAGTCATTTAGAGTTTTCTCAAGACTTTCGTCTGAACGAATTGTAAAGATTCTCATTTCGTCAAATTTGTCTATTAGACCATCATCACCTTTATACTGCCCATGAAAATATACTGCGAACATAAATGCGTTAGTTCTATTTGAAAACAAAACTCTTCTAAATCCTATTGCCTTTGCATCTGAAGGACTTTGAAGCCAACGAATTGGATAGTCAAACCTGTAAGCTCCGGATGAAAT